GCAATGCACAACACATTCCGTTGGGTGACCAAATACAAAGATGCATTCTAGATTTGAAGCTTTCGTGACTGCAACGAAAACTCTTAGGTGAGAAAATTCGCAATGCACAACACATTCCGTTGGGTGACCAAATACAAATATGCATTCTAGATTTGAAGCTTTCGTGACTGCAACGAAAACTCTTAGGTGAGAAAATTCGCAATGCACAACACATTCCGTTGGGTGACCAAATACAAAGATGCATTCTAGATTTGAAGCTTTCGTGACTGCAACGAAAACTCTTAGGTGAGAAAATTCGCAATGCACAACACATTCCGTTGGGTGACCAAATACAAAGATGCATTCTAGATTTGAAGCTTTCGTGACTGCAACGATTCATACTCTTAGGTTTTTTCGGTAAAGTCCCGTAGGTAAAAAATAATAATAATAGAAATAATAAAATTAAATGTTTTATTTTAAATTTCTATTATTTTAATTTTTATTATTTATTTTTACCTACGTGACTTTACCGAAAAAAATCTAAGAGTATAAATACAAAGATCCTCTATGTAGCCTTCACAGGCTTTTAGGGGCAAGTGCTGTTAGCGAGTCGAACCTATGAAGGCCCGCAAGGCACACGACGGCGTGGGTGGCCAGCACCACGCCCGGCCGCCTTTGTCTTCCCAGTTAGACATCGTACCAGGTACTTATTTGAGGATGATACCTCCATCCATAACACAGGTAGGCTGTTGCCATAGGGTGCGGAGCAACGTGGGAGGGCAGCAGAGAACGGTGCAGCGAAATACATTGTTGTACAGTACTTTCTATGCTCTCCGCCGTCATCAACTCCGCCCTAACTTGCAAGGTGGTTGCTGGTGAAGTATGGTTAACTCCTTCACGACCCGCATAGCATGGGAATCAAGACCCTCATCCAAATAGTTAAATAGTGCGTTGACAAAAGGTGATGTAAATATGTACGCATTGCAGAGGTGGGACAAAGTCATTGTTATGCAAGTCCAAGTCGAGTCTCAAGTCACCAAATTCATGACTCGAGTCTGACTCGAGTCCAAGTCACATGACTCGAGTCCACACCTCAGAGGTGGGACAAAGTCATTGTTATGCAAGTCCAAGTCGAGTCTGAAGTCATCAAATTCATGACTCGAGTCTGACTCGAGTCCAAGTCACATGACTCGAGTCCACACCTCAGAGGTGGGACAAAGTCATTGTTATGCAAGTCCAAGTCGAGTCTCAAGTCATCAAATTCATGACTCGAGTCTGACTCGAGTCCAAGTCACATGACTCGAGTCCACACCTCAGAGGTGGGACAAAGTCATTGTTATGCAAGTCCAAGTCGAGTCTCAAGTCATCAAATTCATGACTCGAGTCTGACTCGAGTCCAAGTCACATGACTCGAGTCCACACCTCTGACGCATTGTACTGTATACATACAACTCAAAGAGTACAAAAGGTTTCTTATTTGGTGTTTGACCATGTGACACCCGTTTTATGGCCAGACAGGGTAAAACATTTTCTTATTTTTCATACTTTGATACTGGCAAAAAGGTCCCATGTTCAAGAGTACAGTTAGTCCTATGCTCCTATTTCGATACCAATTCAATAATCAGCAACAAAATCTGTGCAATATCCCTCTGCTCCGTGAGAGCAGTGTGCACAGAACAAGGCAATTCAGGATCAATCCACTGAAGCCCACTCGTGTATCAGTCTCGACCGTAGATTTAAAAACCCACGCCAATGTAAACACAGAGTTGCAGGTGCCACGTGCTGCACAGGAACAGGTGCAGCACGTGGCAGGGTAACCTCTACAAGCCGGATTCGATCAAATTGGAATTTGGTGTCAGCCGAAAGGCTACCTAAAATAATTAAACAATATAAAAACATTAGAATTCGGTTATGTCCGGTACGATATGGTCACATGTAATCTACTTAGTGTAACATTACTAAGGTGTTAATTACCTTTAGATGCAATACGTATGAAATGTGCAATTGTTGTTTTATTTGCAGTATGCCAGACACCGTCCCGCCCACACCCCAGCTGCCAGCCTCAACACTGTGTACCTCTATCGTGTCAACGATTCAGAGACAGAGTTTCTAGGAGGTATCTTCTATATTAAACAACTTCCACGGTCTCGTCCACACACTCTCCACAGTTATTTCGCCTAGCCTGTACACAACCCTAACCGTCAAACACTCACGGCGCTGACTGACATAGTCAACAACTTCCAGCAGCGCAATATCTTAGTGAAGACGGCAGCGACGACGGCGACGAGACTACAGTGAGAACAAGACGAGTACACTCCCAGAACCGGCAGCCTCGAGCCCCCCGATCTCGGCTCCTTTTATGCTCCCAGCGCGGCCTGGCCCCGCCCTGACCGCGCCTCCCTTCTCGAACCCGCTAGCAGGTTCCAGGGGCCTCCAGACGGGGTCCTCCGTGACCCTTACCCCAGCTCCTCCCTCTGCCTACACCCCGTGCATGCCCTCACCGGCGTGTGTGCTGTCTGTCCACCAGTTGCCGCTGGTGTCCAGCAGCCGGCGCTATGACACTACACATAAACACACACACGCAAAGCGGTGCAGTCCCTCATCCTACACAACAATCGGTGTTACACCGTCTTCAATATTAACACAAACCAGAAACGATGCAGTGCCCAGTCCTGCACCAGATGCAGGCACCCTGCCTGCTGCACCAGACCCCGTGTTCCACCTTCCCCATTGTCAATACTGCCCAGCAGGTCGTGCAGCAGGTGCCCTGCCTGCTGCACAAGACCTCGTGTTACACCCCCACCACCCTCATCAATGTCAACACTGCCCAGCAGTTTGTGCAGCAGGTGCCCTGCCTGCTGCAGGTGCTCTGCCTGCTGCACCAGACCTCGTGTTACACCACCACCCTCCTCAATGTCAACACTGCCCAGCAGGTGGTGCACCAGGTGCCCTGCCTGCTGCACCACCAGACCTCGCGTTACACCACCACCACCCTCAATGTCAACACTGCCCAGCAGGTGATGCCTGCTGCACCAGACCTCGTGCTACACCACCACCACCCTCCTCAATGTCAACACTGCCGAGCAGTTTGTGCAGCAGGTGCCCTGCCTGCTGCACAAGACCTCGTGTTACACCACCACCCTCCTCAATGTCAACACTGCCCAGCAGGTGATGCCTGCTGCACCAGACCTCGTGCTACACCACCACCACCCTCCTCAATGTCAACACTGCCCAGCAGGTGATGCCTGCTGCACCAGACCTCGTGCTACACCACCACCACCCTCCTCAATGTCAACACTGCCCAGCAGGTGGTGCAGCAGGCAAGACTCCTGCTGCACCTCCTGCTGCACCAGACCTCGTGTTCCACCCTCAATGTCAACACTGCCCAGCAGGTGGTGCACCAGGAAAGACTCCTGCTGTACCTCCTGCTGCACCAGACCTCGTGCTACACCCTGAATGTCAACACTGCCCAGCAGGTGGTGCACCAGGTGCCCTGCCTGCTGCACCACCAGACCTCGCGTTACACCACCACCACCCTCAATGTCAACACTGCCCAGCAGGTGATGCCTGCTGCACCAGACCTCGTGCTACACCACCACCCTCCTCAATGTCAACACTGCCCAGCAGGTGATGCCTGCTGCACAAGACCTCGTGCTACACCACCACTCTCAATGTCAACACTGCCCAGCAGGTGATGCCTGCTGCACCAGACCTCGTGTTACACCTTCAATGTCAACACTGCCCAGCAGGTGGTGCATCAGGCAAGACTCCTGCTGCACCTCCTGCTGCACCAGACCTCGTGTTACACCACCACCCTCAATGTCAACACTGCCCAGCAGGTGATGCCTGCTGCACCAGACCTCGTGTTCCACCCTCAATGTCAACACAGCTCAGCAGGTTGTGCAGCAGGTAAGACTCCTGCTGCACCTCCTGCTGCACCAGACCTCGTGTTCCACCCTCAATGTCAACACTGCCCAGCAGGTGGTGCATCAGGCAAGACTCCTGCTGCACCAGACCTCGTGTTCCACCCTCAATGTCAACACTGCCCAGCAGGTGATGCCTGCTGCACCAGACCTCGTGTTCCACTCTCAATGTCAACACTGCCCAGCAGGTGATGCCTGCTGCACCAGACCTCGTGTTCCACCCTCAATGTCAACACTGCCCAGCAGGTGATGCCTGCTGCACCAGACCTCGTGTTCCACCCTCAATGTCAACACTGCCCAGCAGGTGGTGCACCAGGCAGGGCTCCTGCTGCACTAGACCTCGTGTTCCACCCTCAATGTCAACACTGCCCAGCAGGTTGTGGAGCAGGCAAGACTCCTGCTGCAAATCCTGTTGCACCAGACCTCGTGTTACACCCTCAATGTCAACACTGCCCAGCAGGTGGTGCAGCAGGCAGGACTCCTGCTGCACCAGACCTCGTGTTCCACCCTGAATGTCAACACTGCCCAGCAGGTGGTGCACCAGGCAGGGCTCCTGCTGCACATCCTGCTGCACAAGACCTCGTGTTCCACCACCACCCTCATCAATGTCAACACTGCCCAGCAGGTGGTGCATCAGGCAGGACTCCTGCTGCACCAGACCTCGTGTTCCACCCTCAATGTCAACACTGCCCAGCAGGTGATACCTGCTGCACCAGACCTCGTGTTCCACCCTCAATGTCAACACTGCCCAGCAGGTGGTGCATCAGGTGCCCTGCCTGCTGCACCACCAGACCTCGTGTTCCACCCTCAATGTCAACACTGCCCAGCAGGTGATGCCTGCTGCACCAGACCTCGTGTTCCACCCTCAATGTCAACACTGCCCAGCAGGTGGTGCATCAGGTGCCCTGCCTGCTGCACCACCAGACCTCGCGTTACACCACCACCCTCATCAATGTCAACACTGCCCAGCAGGTGATGCCTGCTGCACCAGACCTCGCGTTACACCACCACCCTCAATGTCAACACTGCCCAGCAGGTGGTGCAGCAGGCAGGGCTCCTGCTGCACCAGAACCCCCCGGGGGTGGGGGGTGGCGCGGCGCGGTGCACGCCGGGACGCGCGGCCATGTTCCGCTGCTATGGCGCTGGGCCCGGGTTGAGTGGTCGCCCCTCTCGTGAGGAAACTTTTTCGCGGCGATTTTTCGTCGTAAAACATTTAATTGCCGGGCACCCAGCTCGCCCCTCCACGTTATATTGTCACGGACGCAGCAAAGAGCAAAGTTCGCGGGAGATTGTGTTCTTATAAAGCGACGAGAAAAGTTGCCGGCGTTGTTGCGCGTCCTCGGCGTCTGTTTGGTAAGTGCGTGAGGCCCCGCGATAACTTTAACACACATGCTATTTGTTATTAATATTTGTTTATATGTTAAGGTTATTTTGGTTAGTGGTTAAGTGTGTTATAACGTACGTGTTGTGCGAGCACCGTGTCGATGTGTTATTGTTAAAATGAGCTGAGGGGAAAACGTTTCGTCAATAGTTGTTGCGGCAACATAATTGTTAATTGATAATAGTTATTAATACAAATGTAAACGTATGAGTTTTTAAATACGTGTTGAAAAGTATAAGACGTTCAATAATCCAGTTGCGGTTAAATACAGCGGTACGTTTAATGAGATAACCACTGTACAGTGTTGTTGTCATGGGACGTCAGCGTGCAAGGAACGAGTTAACCAACAATAAAAGATTGCTTATTATAATAGGAACATTATTTAACACTTAATTGTTTAATGCTCGTTGATTATATTTTCTAATTACGCTTCGGTAATCTAAAACGGTAATGCTCTGATGTGACGCGTAGTTAATTTGTTAACGAACACGCAACATTCTTGTCTCGTTATATATCAGTTATTTAATAATACAGTACAGAACTAGTTAATAAGAGTTATCATTTGTTTTCATGTAAATTTTAAAGGGTTAAGTGCAGTTCGTTTTCAACGAAGAGGTTAAAAACTATAACTGTTCGCGTGGAGTGAGAGTGTTCACTATAACCACAATTTTATACCACTAATATTGGTGGCATAACATTGTGTTTACCTACAATTATGGCTAAATTATACAGCACCAATGCTTATATATAACGGTCCTGTCAAACTTTTTCTGTCCATGGGTAGCACATGGGTAGCACATGGGTTAACGACTATTAATAGCACACTATTTATAAAGTGGTACTTATAAATGCTCTATGTTATTACATAAGAATAACAGTATAGAACACTTGTATATAATATTCATAGTACTTGTCAGTTAATATAACACTGGTTAAATATGTTGTATACCGTACTGTATAATAACTTTTATCTTAAGTCCGCTTAGAATGAAATTGCGTCATGTTCATACTTTTGTATTTGTGCTATAACGCTGGCTTATATTTTACCCATTCATCATACTCATAGTAATAAATCAATCATGACAGTAATACATTTGTAATAACTAATGAAGCGATAGTTCGTTTATTCTATTGCTCATGGAGAGCACTTTTTGTCATTCCACTGCGATTCTTCACCACGCTGGTCAATGCAGTTTGGTGAATACAGGAAGCATACAAGCTCAGCATAAACATGTATTTATCCACACTCCCCTCATCTGCCTACCACATGTATCCACACATACCTATGACAGCTTGTCTGTGTACGGTGGTCACCCGTCCAAGCAATGACAAGGTCAGGGACATTCTGGGTGATTTAGTCAATGTATAGTATCTTGAAACTTTGAAAGCTGTGGTATTAGAAAAATTAGAATCCTAATGATTCACATGATCATTATCAGCTGTTCTCTGTTCACTGATGGATGAAGGCTTCACTGCACTGTTGCCACCCCTGGGGGTTATGCAATGCCACATTCCAGAATAATAATACATAATCTTTAATATTATGTATAATAATACCCTATATAATATATCCTACCACTAATTTTACTACTGTGCCTTTAAACTAGCACGTGTAATCATCACATTAAACAGACTCATACCAGCTTCCGCAAACGCACATTTTTGTTGTGCATGACTTGTTTTGTTGTTGTGATATAACTGTATATCATTACCCCCACTTCAGCAATTGTTTCTTGCTGTGGTTGTCCCACCTGATGACGGACGATTGTGTTGCGCCCGAAACTTCGTGATTTATTTTATTTTATACCTACGTGACTTTACCGAAAGAACCAAAGAGTATGGATCCCTGCAGTCACGAAAACTTCAATTCTAGATTACCAAAGGACTTCCCTGAATTTCCTGTTCAATCAGACCGGCTGTTTTTTTACTTGAGCCACATGGTCCGTCTGATGATCTTACATCCATGTTCATACTCCGTGCCCTCAATGTATTCCTGGAACACACGGGAAAGAACTGGATGACACAGTCACTGTTATACAATGAATTTATTACGTCTGTTTCTAAAATAGTATGTTAGTAGGTGCAGTGGCAGAGGGTGTCCTGAACCCCTCTGGCTTCAGAGCAGTGGCTCACACAACCGTGTTTTCTGAGTCTGCTCTCTAAAAGATAATCCACGTTTACCTAAGTCCTAAGTCGCGGGAGTATTTGTATTCTATACTTTTAACATACATTCGTAAACTCTTCTTTGCCGTGCTTGCCTTTTCAGGTAATAACAGCAGCAGGACTTGCTCTCTGAGTAAGTTGAGACATTGGCGGAGGTTTGATTTGACGGGCGTCTCCGCCATGTCGATAGAGAGGATGGAGGAGCGGTGCCGAGTGCTGCAGGGGCTGATCCTGAACCGACGTTCCGAGCTCCACGCGGAGTGTCTGCTGGTGAGAGAGGCTCACACACACACGCCTGCAGCCCATGCCGCCTAATTATCTCTCTCCCTTGTGCACATTATTGGGTTACGTTTGCAATCCGGTGGCTGTGGCACAGTGCTGCTGGAAAAAAAACTGTTGTGGATTAAATGTACGTGTGGTGCGGAGAGGGGAAATTTTATTGCACCTTGTGGACTGATAAACAGTTTTGTTTATTAAGTAGGTAATGTGGCATACAGTTAGCTTATTCTGCTGTGTTTCATCTCGCATTATTACCTGGTGTGACTGTCAAGGCATGATCCAACTTGTAAATGTATTAATAAATTATGTACAGTATTCATATATTATGCATTCCTTTCAGTATGTTGGTAGGTACGTGTGTATTTAAATAAAGCTTGTGGAGATGTTGATTTTGGTAGCTTTGTTTATTTTGTGCAGCTATGTAAGCTGGGCTTTTTGAGTGTACAGACGTGTGAAATGTGCAGCAGCCTGCGGTACAGTTGTTTTGTGGCAGTCGGGTGTCTCAGTTATTTGTGGCACGTCCCTGGTCCTTCGAGGGCACACTGACTCAACGTACCGTAGTCAACCGTACTTTACTGCACCTTAAGGAGCCCGGTATTAAAGCGGTGTAAAGATAAACGTATAAAATACGAATTTTAAACTGAAAGCGGGTTGAAAAGTTTTAAAATTCAAAATGATACGTAAAATTGCCTTACACAACCAATATATTGTGCTATTTTATTTCATAAACACATTGTAGAAAAAATAGTGTTTAGGCAATATGACAGATCAATGGCAAGGTGACCTAAACATTTCATCCACGCCTTGTCATTTGTGTGTTTGTGGAAACGTGTCCCAAATAAAGTAGTTTTATTTACAGCATAAATCCAGTTTTTAAAAGCAACTTGTGGGTGGTAAAAATGTATTGTTAAAAACATATTTGTAATAAGCTTTTTTAAACAGCTGCGTTACTATATTTTACAAGGTTTAATTATGCCATGGTGGCAGCCATCAAATGGCAGTAAACCGGTACACGGGGCAGCTAAAAATATGTTTTAAATAATCATGCGCATGTGATTGTTAGCCGGCTGCAACCGACGTACCTTCTGGTGGCATATCTGCTGTCTATTACACATATATGTACGTACACCTGGAAAAAATGGTAGCTAATCGTGTATCATTATTTTGGATTTTTTCTTTGTGGAGCCGTTCACAATCATGTCTGTGTATGGTGCGGTATTTTCAGGCCAACGCGCGGGACCCGACGTCATTAACAGGAAGTTGTTATAAATAGCAATGATGTCGAGTAGAGCAGCTCCCAAACCTCATCCATTGCTCTCTCAAATATAAGTTTTAGGCAGCAGCCTGTGCTGTCCTGTGACAGATGTCTCTTGGAATTTTATATATTTGACTTTTTATTGGATATGTTTACAACCCAGGTGTTTTGATGATTTTTTATTTTGTAATTTTTAAAAGGTGCTAAAGGCCAAGCAGTCTGGCATGAACATGTGCAGTACAAATTCTATATAAAAATCACTTTTTAGTTGCACACAAGCTGATTTACAAAAATAAATTACTTTCATTTACGGTACACTTGTCAAATTCCTGCCTAATGGAAATTCAAAGCTACACTTTCTACGCACGTGTATTATCTTGGTGCCGTTTGTTAAGTAACTGAATGTAAAGGAAGACAATATTTACCTGTTGGGAATAAAAAGTTCCATTCTGCTGGCAGTGATAAGAACAGTATAAAAGTATTTTTCATGGTACTTTAGTATTTGGAAATTGGATTATCAGATACAGGTGTAATGACAAAAACATATTTTTGCCAGTCTTCATCATTGAGTTTTTAGATTTGTATTTTTTTGCAGTGTACACTGTAGATAAGTGTGCATGTTTTACTCTTCAACACTGTGTCATAAATGCCACTGTATATAAACGTACATATACTTTTGCAGACCATGTTGTAGTGTGGCTTATGTACTCTTGTTGTGTTTGGCAGTATTGTCCCTCCACAAAAATTTGTTTGTTTAGAACATTTCTTGTACATTACTTTTTGTTGCCAATATTTATCTTGAGCCCAACTTCGCATATTACAGGGCTATGCCATTCAATCGGAACATAAACACTGTCAAAGAAAGTAGAGCAAAATATTAATATTAAGCAAAGAAGCATGAAGAGATGCATTTTGAGAATTAAAATCACGACCGATAGGAATACATTTTTCAGAGAACAAAAGCAAATTAGATGCGTTATATTGACTCTTAAGGAAAGGAATTTGGCTTGTGAAGGACACATGGCTAGAAAGAACAATGGCCAATGGACTAATGTGGTGAAGGAATGGCAGCCAAAAGAGAGCACAATCCTAAGAGGGTGACCACAGCGGAGATGGAGTAATGGCCATTTCATGTGCAGGAACAAGGTGCATTACAACACCATGAAAGATGACATCGGTGTAGGCATGCCTTCATCTCGTAGTGGATAGGTCATGGGTGATGAAAGTTTGATCATGTGTAATATATTTATGCTGAATTTGTGTACCACACACTTGGCATTGCAAAACCATTGTATTGCAAATTTGACATTTTGGTTTAATATATTGTACTTGAAACACTGTTTTCTTTATCTAACTTTTAAGAATTACTAGACTACACCTTTTAAAAACAAAATGTTATGTTGGTGGAAAAAATGTCAAGCAATGAAAGACTGCGCGAATTTATCACACCAAGGCAATTTATCATAACTCTTAAACAGTCAAAACAGGAGATATTAAATTTGATTCGGGTTGAAGTGCATCCAGCGCTTCATTGCCTCTGTTTAAAGTGCATTCATGCAGGTGTTGCAAGCATTCCATTTAAACCTACCCACAATGAGTACCCTCTGTTAAACACAAACCAGCTACGATTCAGGCATTCCATCTCAGTTATTAATGTTACTTTCTGCTGTTGAAATTATTGATTTCAATTAAGTATATTTTGTCCATTGGTGGGTGGTGTCAGATGATGCACTCCCTCGCTGAGGAGTCACTATCCTGAAATGAATCGACATTCTAATCGGTCACTGTTCTAATTTTGTTGCATTTTAAAAAATATATAATTAGACAGAACCTAAACAGCATGTCTGTTGAATACAAGAAAACGGTGTCCATTTTTGGGAAAACATTGTAGCTCTGTTGTTCGATAGGAACGTTATTGTGACTAATTTAGCATGTTTAAAAGTTTTGGGCAAAAATCTGGTACATTGTGAAACTTGGGTTGTGTTACCTTGCTATTTTAAAAATGTTTGATATCTGTGCTATGTTTTAGCAGCAGCCCACATTCTCTTCATATTTGTTTACTAGCATCATCTTGCATGTTGGCGTGCTGTCTTATCTCACCTAAACAGCAGGGGATTCAACTATGCGCTATATTGGAATGAGAGTTGAAATAATGAAAGAGCTCAGACCGAATCATGGCCAGGGCTTTAGAAGGCAGCTTTTGGGGTATTGTTTGTTTCCCCTGAGTCATGGCCTGTTTTGACTTCCTGGCTGGCTGAGGTCATTGTACAAACGGTGGCACGGTGATTGCTTGCTGAGGGATGGTTAGCAATGGAATTTATGTTTTTTTTAATGACCTCATTGGGGATTCTGATGTAACTTTACCAGCCTAATAGTGCCCTGTGGGTGTCAGAAAACTTACATGTCGAATTTATGTTAATTTGACATTATTTTTTTCCCAATTATTCTGCTTGGTCCCTTGGGAATTGGTTTATCCAAGTAAACATGTTATTTACTTTTTTTTCTGCACATGGAATGTGTTTTTGAATTGAAAACCATGTTCTATCTGTTTTTAATTCAGAAATGTTTTACGGAATTGATTGTCTAGCAACCTTTATTGTGGATTGATTGAGCTTTTTTGTGATTAAATACACGCACATAAGGCACTAACCATTGCTACAGTCTACACTATAGATTGCCAATACGCTCACCAGCTTAAAATTCAGACTATAGTCTACATCAATGACTGCCAGTACACTCACCCAGCTTAATAACCATTGCTACAGTCTACATTATAGACTGCCAGTACACTCAACAAACTTAATAACCAGGCCACAGTCCATATTAGATATTGCCAGTGCACTCACTCCGATTAAGAACCAGGCTACATCAGTGTTTTTGATTACCTTTATTTTTATTTTTCTATCCACGTGACTTTACCAAAAGTACCAAAAAATAAGGCACTACTTTAACTGTGTTTTATACATATAAATGGTTGTGATTGTGTGAATGATTTTTGTCATGATATTCCAGAAGAGCTATTTAGTTAACGTTTTGCATGATTACCTGACACAGCTGTAAACATATATTTTTTTTTGCAGTAGTAATGTTATGTCATATTTGCCCATTCACTGCTGGATGTTTGATCATACTTGATAATGCTGCTTGTGCAGGTTAGTGGATTCTAGTTTTATTACACATCACTCACTAATGTTGTTAGCTGTGATTCAGATAAAATTTGGGCTATTGGGTTTATAGCCTAGTGCACTAACCCCTGCTGCACCAGTTATCCACCCCATTTCATTTGGGCCCTCAAAGACTATGACGTGGAGATTGATTGATTTCACTCACATGGCAGCAGTCAACCTTGAGGTCTAATTTGCTTTTAAGTCTTGTGCTAAACACTTACAATGTATCATGTATATAATCAGACAACCAAATAATTGACCTTTCATGGAATGTCACTATCGCTGATGTATGTTATGTTCGAAGTTGTTGAAATTATTTCGCACACCGTAAGTAGCCAACAGTGTTAATCAGAGGTGCGGTGATAAAAACGTCCATGATTATCAGTAGAGTATATCCAGCAATGGTCCCTTTTCAGTGCCCAGCTGCCTTTCACTTTTCTAAATGATCATTTCGGTCATGGTTTTTTTCTCTGTGTTTTGTTTTAGTGGCCACGTAACCAAGCACCCTGTGCTGCATGGCTGCTATTTCTCTCAGCTGACCAACACGCGGTGTTTTTCACACAGGCTGGAAATGCCTCCTCACGAAGCCAGTTAATGAATGGATGACCCCCACCCAGAGGGATTTATGCGTGGTCACTCGTTCTTCCATTTTGCACCATCTCACGTGAAAAGGGCTTTTCACCATGCTGCCAGTATCAAACAAGGCAGAGTCCTGTTTACAGCACAACACTATGCGCTATATTCCAGGGTGTTGAAATCCAAAACTCAATTGGTGTATTCTCAATGAAGTTACCTGAATAATGGTCCGATTGTATTAGAAAGCTATGCGTTGTGTAAATAGACAATATACACAAAAATAGGCCATTTACACAAGTATAAACATATATATTGTAATATACTTGCTGAAAGATCTGTTCAGAAATTATGTTGGTGTCTTGTGTTTCTTGTTTTAAAGTATTTTTTTGTATAAAAATATGGCGAAACAGTGGGTGTTTGCAGCACTTGTCTTGTTACTCGTGGTAAATACATAGGTGTCAACAGTTTTTCATTAAGAAATTCCTAGCTTAAATATCCACGTATTGGGTAACATTTGATGTTGTTGAAGTGCAAGTTTGTTCCTGACGCAGCTGGGCCTTCACTTAGCAGTGAGGGAGTGTGGTGGCAGGCGGTGATGATTCGATAGCTATAAATAAATACACCAGGCCCAGGCCACTACAATAATGGTAGCAGGGAATGATGTCATGACAGGTTTATGTGGGGCTCTGTTTGTTGAAAACAAATGGCTTCAGTTGCCACATGGTATATGTCCAAAACAAAATTTCTGTCCCCGTTGTATGGTTAGTGGCACTTTTTCATATAATGCCAAAACTGGTCTGACCTCTTTTTTTCTTTAACTGTACATTGCTGCCTGTTACATGAACCTTTTTGGGGTCACAATGCATAAGTGTGTTTTTTTTACAACTTGTCATTTTGACATTTTCATTCAAGACACTTCATCAGTGCCATTCATATCTCTCATTTACACATGACTGGATTTTGTGCATGAGTTGAAATATTAGTATAATAGAAGAGAAATATCCATTTTTACCAATGGTGTATGTTTTTAAATCGTAAAGCATGAAAGACAGCCATATTTTTCTCATTGTTATTGTACAAAGGATGAGGTGTATGGGCATTGGAAGACATAATTTGTACGAACATTGCAAGAGCAAAGTTCTATGTCATTGTGACCTTTAATCTCAATACATTGTGCATTTTTTTATTGAATGATCGTCTGAAAAAAACTACTTAAAATGAAATTGGAGGACAAACATGCGTTTTTGCATGTGCAAACATTCTCAAGTATGTGACTTGTAGTTTAATTTCATATATAGGCCTTGATGTAGCCCTTAATAAGAATGACCTATCTGGGCTGTAAATCATAATGCTGATTGATGTCTATATTCTCCAGGATGGACTCTATGCGCTCGTGCTTGATTTGGACTTTCCAGCACTCCGAAAGAATAAGAATGTGGAGAGTTTCTTGCAACGATGTAAGTGTCTCATGTATTTACCAGCAGCGTAATTTTGCTATGACTGCACTTTTTATGTTATAAGAACATACATATTTATATAATTAAGGGTTATGGTTTTTTGTATTTTATTGTATATTTTTTCAATGTTGTGCCATTTTTGTAATATCCTGGCAGCATTCACAGCGGCAACATGTATCTTCCCTGGGTGACTCCCAGTTTCACAAAGTTGTGCTTTTACTGGCTAGCTGGGTGCCCTTCAGTACCTGTAAAGGGGGGCAGAACTTGACCGTACACTGTTGTTTTTTTCTCTGTACTACCCACCTGCCTTCACCGATAATATTTACTTATAGATATTCTTTTTTTGGAATTTTGAAATAAGAACCTGCCTCTTGTGGGACTATCTTGAGTGATGTAGACATGTGTCCTTTGCCCGTTTGATGCTGCAACACAACATGTTGCCGTGCCACTTGCTGGATCCTCCCTTAAAGAGCAGAGGTGCACGGGCATCAATGGGCAGATGGGTGGCTTTCCTCTCAGGAAAAGGAAAAGAGATCGGATGACCGTTATTGGCATTCTTCTTCGGGAGTTGTGTACACTTTGGGTATGGAGAATGATTAAGCAGGATCTGACTTACGAAACAGAAACGTATCTTGGATTTTTAGAAGAATAATTTTCTGTGGAAGAACTTTGGTTAAATTGGGAGGTCCCTCGGGCAGAACTTTGGGACTTTCAAACGAGGGTGGTCAGGAGATTGGCTTTACTGCGAAAGAACAGGCCACCTTTGGAAATATTTACTCACGACAGTTCACAAGTTCTGTTCATTTGTCTTTTTTCTAATGTTACAGAAATAGTTGTAGTGTTGTGCCATTCTGCTAGGGGCCTTTAAATTGGGCTTTTGCAGGCCCCTTGGCACATATGCCATTGGTAGCATAGGTTTTGCTGGGGCACCCAGAGGTGCTAGAGGGGAACACCCAACCACTCTCAGATAAAGCTGATAGAGATTTGGGTGAATAATTCCATATATACCATGAATTTGTGGTTATTCTGGTTTAGATGGAGACTTGGTTTAATAAAATGTATTTTATCGGAATGGTATTCCTGTCACCAGCTTAGAGGGTGCAGTGAGGATTTAGCCCAAGAGGCAAGCCTGGTTATGTCTTTGGTCTCGATGGTGGCACCATGAGATTTACCATTGTTGTTAAGGCACTGTTGCCAACTCCCTGTTTGAGCTGATGGAAACCTGTGATTTACAGAATTTATTACATCAAGCACTGTTCTTAGTAAAATCATGTAAGACACAAGGGTGAGAAAGCTTAAAGCAATGATGGCCTCCACATGTTTTATAGAGTTTATTCAGGGTAAGTGATTTGGCTTCATCCTTGGGTTTGCCCAATATTTTTTCAGGTCCTAGAGAACTGAAGATTCAGCTCCCTTCACTACTATCCTTCGTTTTTCACTCGCATAGATAGAGAACAATACAAGGCTTCGATCCAAACCGAGTGCACCACTTTTACTTGAGACATTAACCAGAATTCCACAAATTGGATCATTTTGTTAATTTTCTCAATAAATGTTAGGGTGATTGGCCTCCTGGTTACAGATATCTATATAGTAATGTTACCAACAGGCAGGATTGACCACTTTGCACAAGATTATGGAAATTCAACAATAACCTTGGTGACCTCTTATGTTGCTGCCCAATGTGCCTAGATGGAATCCAATTATAAGGCAGCATCTTGCAATACTGTATTCTGAATACCTTTGAGACACCGAGACTAAACCTATTGGCGTTAATATACACAGCATCGGCAGGGCTGTGCTGTATGTAATTTAAAGAACAACTCCTGCTTTGTCTTCCCCTCTACTGGTTGGGCTTTGGCAGTAAATATCTCAGTTTATTGCTATGGGTGTTGCCAGGTCATGCAAAAATGATTAGAAATTATGTAAAAATAGATGCTTATAGCCCTGGGTAGCACCCACAGAGTTCTCAACTTTCTCCCTGTTAAAGCAGCACTGTAAATAATCTGCACAGGTATTATAATAGGTGACAGTATGGAGAACAATAAGCTATCGTAGGATATAGGAAGAGGCATGAGGGAATAGGTTCTCATAGGCAAATTAAAGAAGAGGAAAAGACATGTAATGCATTTGTATCAACAACTGCTTAAAAAGTACCTGTCCTTCAGTATCTTTAAACATCTTATGGATCTGGTGAAAGGTGCTTATGAACATTATCAGTGTACGGTTGATCCCCATGCCATGTATTATCTAGGTAGAGCCAACCATTCAAACACTTCTAAGCATGGCTGGGTTTCACCTGGTGAAGGTACTTCATAGACCTGCAAAATGCTATCTTTGCACAAGTATTTTGCTTATCAATTGTGCTGTCGACATGTCATGAGATGAAGATATGTTAACTTGTATGTCTCGCAGAGCAAATACACTTCCCTATGTGAAAAGACTGCCCATGGAACGTGATTTCACAGTTCTACTTCTGAGATCCCTTAAAATGCCCTGCTATAGAGTTGTCAGTTTTGTGCATTGCCATTCAACACTTTTTTTCATCCATAGGGCTAGAAGTTTGCAAATTAAATGAAAAGACAAGTGTAATCTGATGAGATTTATTTTGTGTTTGTTGGTAACTAGGCTAAACTGTCAATGGGCTCCAATTCTGAATCTGTTTTAAATATGAGAGGCTCCCTCGTTTCTGATTTGGAGTCTCAGCATTGCCAGCTCGTTGCAGTGATTCCTGCAGCAACAACTAGCCACGTTGGTGATAAGTGTTTTAATATTATATTGTATTTGCCCTCACGGTGCACGAAATGGCAAATGGAAATTAATGGTGCATATCTAGAAATGATATAATTATTATTGCTCTCGGTAAGCTTAAACGTGAGATTCTAAAGTAGTATTAGACATTGGCACACTTGCTATTGGCCATTTGGAAAACTAGGAATCCATGATGCATTGGCCCCATACACAACTGAAGAGCCACCTCCTGTCCTTTCAATAGCATGTTTTTTTAATTCACACAATTTCATTGATGTGGAACATCAGGGTTAAACTTTTTCCACCCTATAAATAAGCATGAATCATTCAATTTCATGTCTCAAAACCTTAGTGGCATGAGTGTGCGAATGCTCAAATGTGTTAGAGATTTCATAGACTTCGTCTTAAATGCACTAATGTAAGAATGTTAATCATACAGAAAACCCTCATTGTGTTTTAAGACTTTTTATAAGGGGCCTACATTGAAATTCTTGGTCAATTCAAGATAGCATTTTATATATGGGAAGAGATCTTGAGTAATACAGAGACAACCCATGTGTATATGAAGGGAGAACAAGGGCCTGCACAAATGTGCTCACGAACAACTTCACTTGGAGAACTGCTATTTCCTGGCCACCTTGCATCTCAGCGTATTTTGGGAGTTCCACAAACTTGCGTGATCCTTCAAACCTGTCTCCAAAATGCAAAATTACAGGTATGCACCACCACACTGAATTGTAAACAAAATGATTTTGCGGCTTTATCCCATCGTCTCATTCTCCATACAGATGGGGAGGCAGTGGGGAAAGTGCGAGACCTCCGAATGCGGGCTGATGACTATGACTCTGTGAAGGTGATTGGGAGAGGCGCGTTCGGGGAGGTACAGCTGGTAAGGAGTCCAGGCTTCATCGCTTACATGCAGAGTCAAGCCTGGCATGCTTCCTGCAAATTGTACTTAATTAATTGTGTGCTTTCTTTGACCTATCCTGCCCATTTTTGCAGACTGTATGACTTGGGTAAAACGTTACATTTCTGCTGTCATCCTTGGCTTAACATTGGTGATGTCAAGATTCATCAGTTGAAATCAGATGTTCTAAGTATTATGCATGACTAAACAATGCGCAATTAATTAATCACTTCCAATATTATTGTTTTATGAAATGTATATAGCTTCAACTTGCACCGGAAGGCAAAACATTTCTTTGATTTGCAATTTAAGGTGTTATGCCAAAGTCTGATAGTTCATTAGATAAAGGGTGAGCTATTTATTGCTTGGTGTGGTGAAATGAATGCTGCTCTCTTATTGGATATTGAATACCTGTTATTTGTATTCCCAAGATGTTTATATTTCTGTTAACATTTCCATTTTTTATATTGATGACACCATTAAAGCAAAACATCCTATGAAGGGCAGCTTACACTGAAATGGCACTGGCTGAGATGGTACATTTATATTCAATATAAAATGACACAATTGAAATGTAATATTTATATTGTGATTATGCTGGTGCCATTGGGTTCACGTCGAACAAGTTATATACATCCTTATTATATTAGGTTGAGTTAGTTCACTGTTAAGTGAGGTGTATTTCAATATGGGAAAACACATGGCGTTTATATTGCGTAATTTCCACGCTATTTCCCCCAAAAGGAAACAGTACAAATGGCTCCATTGGGTGTGCCAACTACGCCCTTATAATACCCTCTATAGCCAACAAGGAGATTCTGTTTAACCTACTAGAGAGAACATTTTAGTAAACTTTTTTGGTTGCAATGATGATGTTTAATAAACGTTTTCCTGTTATAAAGACCAACATCTCGAATATCCCTCCTCTGCAAACATATCATGTTTGAAGAGAAAGAACATTGTCTCCTGACCCATTTTTGGGGGGACAGGTAGGCATTACACCGAAAGATAATTCTCATGGATACTTAAATTAATTGTTTTGTGCTTACAACCTCAATATCGTTGTCAGTCACAGCCTCCTCTGATCATCACGGTTACAAAGAAACTAGATTTAGCTATAACATAGTCTTTTGAAGTGCACTTGTGCTGCAGGGCACTTTAATGAATAAAGTACAATATTTATATTCATAGTTCTTTCGGTAAAGTCACGTAGAAGGGAAACAATAAAATAATAAAAATATAAGACAATAAAATATATATTTTTATTATTTTATTGTTTCCCTTCTACGTGACCTTACCGAAAGAACCAAGAATATGAATCCCTGCAGTCACGAAAGCTTTAAATCAAAATTTACAATATTTATGTTTGTGTTTTTAATATTTATACAAAAAATGCATTCCTGTCCAGTTTGGGAAAAGTGTATATTCAGAGATACTAATAGTTGATGTGCAAATAAATTATATTTTCTTATTTCCTTTATTTGTGTTTCGCAGGTGCGTCACAAGGTGACTAAGAGTGTGTATGCCATGAAGCTGCTCAATAAACTAGAGATGATCAAGCGCTCTGACTCAGCCTTCTTCTGGGAAGAGAGGGACATTATGGCTTTTGCAAACAGTCCCTGGATTGTGCAGGTACATTGCGAGTTTGTAGCTCTTATAGTTTTTCACGTGCACTGCTGCTTTTGAAAGTGTGTTATTACTGCGGTTGATAAAAATAGAATACGCATGCACAATTTGTTTGTAAAGCCTTTGTAACTGCAAAATTATATTGCACCCAAATATTTTTCACGATCTGCGAGCAGTGTTTGCTGTATATGTGTGCTTAAGGCCAGTCACGTACGATTGCCATCACATTCATACTACGTACGGCAGCAGTTTTTTCCTTTTGTAATGCTGCATTGATTGTTGTAGGAATTATTTAGTTAAAATTGTGGCCAATCGGCCTTCATGTGTTTCACAGTACATGGTATATTGATTCACCCCTTCTTGCTATTCGTAGTGAGCTCTTAGGCCGATGTTTTTGGGTACAGTCTTAACGGTACTTTTTGGGAGTCCACCGAGCGCTGTGCCCCTTGTTCACATGAATAACAGCTTTTGTTTGGCTTAATTAGAACATGTACATAACCGATAAGATGTGAGGTCAGTGTGTTTCAATGCAAGTCATTTTGTTTTTGAGCCCTCGCCCATATCCCCCCTATGTTTTACTGATTTTATTTTTCCACGCGATTGCTGATGGTCATTATTATTACAGTGTCCTCAATTTATGGACAATTTAAACTTAAAATGTGAAATCACAATTATGTTTTATTCTTTTAATCTTAGAACCCATTGTTTAAATGTGATTATGTGATCAGTGCATCTTCATGGCAAATCGTATATTACCTCCGAGTTACACCAACCTAAATAACATGCCTCTGACTTTTAAAGTGTTAATGCAATCACTCCTCCCTCATTCAGTCCTGATGATCACTTTTGAACTGGAACAGTCATTTCATTATTCACGCTCCGCTTTGCTCATACCCCCAGAGACTGAAAAAACAGTTCTCTAAAAGGAAGATGTAACCCAATAAACAATAATTACTGTAGATGCTTAAATTGGTTGTGTGTCCTGGACTGCCAAACATAAGTTTGGAGCTTCGTTAATGAGAGCGAATAAATCTCGTTTTTTATGACCAAGCGCATCATAATGGCACACTCATATCATATCTTATATCATGTTTTTTTGGCGATTCTATTTTGTATGTTTGTAATGATTCCTTAATTAATATTGATTGTTGTATTCATGATACCTTGATTTAAGCGTGTGTCTAGCAGTCAGTAACCTATGATTTTTGCATGTATTGAATTGCGAAATTTAATAATGTCATCCAAATCAACGGGAGAGATCTTTGTTACATGCCAGGTTTTTATTATTTTAGGAGAGCTTGTTGCTTTGATTGTACACTCATGACATCTGTCGCATGTGCACTGCAGCTCTTCTACTCGTTTCAAGACGATCGCTACCTGTACATGGTGATGGAGTACATGCCAGGTGGGGACCTCGTCAACCTGATGAGCAACTACGATGTCCCCGAAAAGTGGGCTCGATTCTACACAGCTGAGGTGGTGCTGGCCGTCGAAGCCATCCACACCATGGGTTACATCCACCGGTAAGAAAGGGGGTGGGTGCAGTGTGGGCAATCGTGTTGCCAGCGTCCTCCCCCCCCTACTCTCCACTTGCGCCATGAAGTGGAACTCATCACCCAGTGAAGCAGCTGCAGAGGACTTAATGCAGGATTTTATCCGTACTTGACTCTGGTCATGAAGCTGCCTCATCCTCAATCTCGAAAACTCTCATTTTGATTGGGACGTGCCCCGAGTGGTCAGTTTTGATTCTAGCATCGTGAGGGCTGTTATTTTCACGGTAAATTGTTGGGTTTCTTTGGGGGAAATACTGCAAGGTTGCCCTGTTGTTCATTTTACCCTTTAATCTGGTTTTGATGAATAGCAGTGGTGGGCGGAAATGTGTGTCTTTCAGTGGTACAAGTAATCATGGTGCACATATAGGCCTCTTTCATGAAAAAAATGTGTTGATGAAGTGACATAGTTGATTAAGTGGCATACATAGCAACATCATGAGTCATGCGTTTCGCTTACATTGCATGTCATATTAAACTTGACAGGGAATTGTTGATAAGTTGATTTTTGACATTTTGGATTTTCTTAAACAAATTTTAATGTAACCTGTTTTGAATTAAATTTTTTCAATGATAGCATTTCCTTGTGCAGGAATCTTTTGGTTCATAAATGCATAACTTATGCAACATAGCTGCATTGTGTATCCCCTGCACATGCTGGTTTTTCCTTGTTGAAGTTGCACTCCTGCCTGATATGAGCCCCATTCCCCACACAGACCCTAGTTCTGTCATTTCTCATACATGATTTGAATAAAGATGGAACTGGCATAGAGGGTGGGTGTAGAGTGAGGCATTAGAAAGCAGCCAGTCCTAAAGATAATGTTAGACCACGAATTGCTGCAGTGCTTTTGCTAACCTCTTTACTGTCAGATGGCAGCTTGACCTTTATCTTATCGAAGCGCTGAACACTGGCAGCGACTGAAATCCTGCCCACCTGCATATCACATCTATCTGACGGACAGTGCAGTCACTGCAGCAATTCCTTGGGTTCTTACAGGGAACAAAATCAATCCATCTTGCATCCTGAGCATTTAAAGAAATTGAAAGCCACGCATCAGCAGCTGTGACTTATTGTTATATGTGAGCTGTAGTGAGGTCCATATGACCTGAATCTCGAAGGGGCACAATATACTTATAGAAGTGTTTTTTAAAGGCTGTTCTGTGCATTCCAGAATTTGAAGAAACTGGTTTTGCTAGCTTATATGTTAGCCAGATGCCTCACTGTACCGTTTTGTAAATATGTACTATGCTAACAATGTTTATGGATGTTAGTCATTATTCTTCTGATGGAGATTAATTTTCATGGGTTCTATGTGTCCAGAGATGTGAAGCCAGACAACATGCTGTTGGATAAGTCTGGTCACCTCAAGCTGGCAGACTTCGGCACGTGTATGAAGTTAAACAAAGTGAGTGTATTACTGCACATGTTTTTATATGTGCATTTTTTACTTGTGGTTATATTATCGTGAATTCATCAAGTGTTGCATTGTGACTGTCAGAAACCTTCTGGTTTTGGTAAGTTGAGCTTGTTGACAGAGTTTACTGTTGCTGATTGTATTACCTTTTTAATGTCTGTTGTATTTCACGGAACATTGCCACTGAATCACATCAATAAAAACTCGATTCTTTGTATAGGGGTATTGACTTGTGTATTGTTTTTACACAAACTCATTAAAGTTATCAATTCCAGAGAGAGATAGATACCCATTTTTGGCCTGCAGTGCATTATTACGTACTTCTGCAACAGCAGTTATCTTATTTAATTTGCCATGATAATGAACATGTCAAGCGTTATATTTCCAATGGTTTTTATTGGAAATTGTTGGCATGACGAATTAGAGGTATGTTCAATTGAGCACTTTTGTCTATATACATTACGAATGATATAAACTTGTATCAATTGGATGACAATGACAGTGTGACTGACTTATACTCGGAATGTAGATTTGATCAAATCGCAGATAGGAGCCAACTGCACACTTCATCTCTCTAGGGTGAATAAAATGTGGGTTTTCACCAGTGGTAATCCGGCCCAAGCCCTTGGAATGTGGAGTTCCCACCAGTGGTTTAACGCCCATCATGGAGATAAGCATTGTTTAAAGGGGATATACAACTAGACCAAACTGTGGAGGTCTTTTATTTTTCATATGTATCTAGGCTGTTTGTTCTCGGCTGTCAACCTTAAGTTTGTGGCTTCCTTCATGAAAATAAAGTAAAGAAAATGGTGTTTCAGCGTTTCCTATGTTACTGTTTTGACATTAAAATGTATGGGAGTAATACCCATGATGTCACTTGTGCCAAGATGGGACACCTGCCCATGATTTGAGTCTCTTTTTTATCATTAACAAAGCTTCAAACTTATGTAGGACATTCTGGGACACACATGATAGATAGAGATCAATGCAGTAAGAGCTATTTGATTTTTTTATTCAATTTTCCTTAAAGCAGAAGCCATGACTGACTTTTTTTACTTTACACAGCATAGTCAAAATGTGTTCCAAGTGATGATTTATTGGTCGTCAGTGATTATTTTTTCTAGATCATATTCCAGTGGTGCTATTGGCATCATGTATAATGAGAGAAAGACATTTACTGTCTAAACGTTCCACAACAAGCATTGTATCACCATGTAAGAAAAGCGCTGTAAAATGATACCACAGAACTGTATCTGAAGTCGGTTCAATACCCATTTTTATTTGAGGAAGGTGTACACTTTTTATATGCATTGCATAGTATTCATTGCGTGTTCATTATACTATGATTTGTAATACATAGAACTGGAATAAGCCAAATAAAGTATAACACTACATTTAATACGACGGATTTTTTTTTTCTTCATGTAGTCACTGGAGACCAAATTTGCTTCACTTTCTAAAACACGCTTTAGTCTTGAGTGATGCCGGCTTAATTCTCTGAAATAGTTTTTTTTCACCTGCTCCCTCAACCACCCAGCCACATAGCTTGTGTTTAACTAAGCAGCCTGGTGTGTTGTGTATGTGCAGGACGGCATGGTGCGCTGTGATACCGCGGTTGGCACGCCGGACTATATCTCGCCCGAGGTGCTCCGCTCACAGGGCGGTCAGGGCTACTACGGCCGCGAGTGTGATTGGTGGTCTGTTGGCGTGTTCCTCTTTGAAATGCTCGTTGGTAAGCTGGTGTGGAAAATCTTTACCTTCAGTATAATAATGAGATCTTTATTTTAACCCAAATTAACCATTTTTAAATCTGTTCTTCATACTTAACTGAGGGTGGGCCATCAGTTTTGTGTGTGTACATATATTGTAATGGACCTTTGCCATAAGTGTTAACTCTCTTCCTTTTCTCCTAATGCCTTGATTAATTCTGCTGGCAATCCATCCACTTTTGCTTTCCTCGTTAAGCCTTTGTTTTTTAAACTTCACTTCGTAATATTCTCGCTCTCAGTTTATTTCGTGTCATCCTCCTCATTCTATCACTATCTCAACTGGTTTATTTTGTTTGCCAAAGAGTTCCTGCTTTACCCTCTGTCTTACAGACTACTCTTTCCACTATTTGGTGTTGTCTATGTTCATGAAAGTGTTACTGGGAGCATTGTTTTACCCTTACATTAGTGACAGCATTTTAATTAAATGTATTTTATCTGCTTTCAATTCTGACAAGTCCACACTGGGAAAATCCTGTAGGAATTGCTGTAAGCTGTGCTTTTTGCATCTTTTTTGTTTTCAACATGACCTCGACCATCGTTGTGTTCCACAGGCGACACCCCATTCTATGCAGAATCGCTGGTCGGCACCTACGGAAAAATCATGGATCACAAAAAGTCGCTCACATTTCCCGTGGACCTCGACGTCTCAAAGAACGCTAAGAGCCTAATTTGCGCCTTCCTGACAGAGAGGCAAGCTTTCACGTTCCTCACATGTGATTTGTTAGCACAGCTGCTTTAACTGCTCAGATTATAAGTGAGGAAAAGTAATTATGGTGAAGTCATTCAACCTTTGCGCTCGTCTTCAGTTTTGTCTCGTACAAAATTTTGAGAGTGGAATCCTTTTGTGTTAATTACTTGCATTCTTGATTGTTAATTTAGGGATGTGCGGCTGGGCAAGAATGGCTTTGCGGAGATAAAGTGTCATGATTTTTTCAAGAATGACCAGTGGACTTGGGAGAACATCCGCGAGAGTAAGTCTCATAATGCCATAGTGCAAGACATCTCATGCAAAATTAGTGTTTTCAACCCAGGATCAGCTTTGTAATTTGTACGTCACGTATCTGACAAGCAAAGGAATTAATTTAATTATCTTGCCTCAATGGTTTAAAGTGATACGCCTTTTAGTTTGGCCACTTTATACAATTTGGATGCAAATAATATTTTCCTTGCCAACTCAATTCTTTTGCCCACTTCCTCATGCGTCTCCTGTCTTGTTTCTGCTGTCTACAGCGTCTGCTCCCGTGGTACCGGAGCTATCATCTGACACAGACACGAGCAACTTTGATGAGATCGAGAATGACAAGAGCGCGGATGAGACCTTCCCACAGCCTAAAGCCTTTGTGGGGAACCAGCTGCCATTTGTTGGCTTCACGTACTACAAAGATCACCAGTAATAACTTTTTCTCAAATTTGCTTTGGTTGAAACGATCTAATTCTGTTTTATCTTGAACAATATGTTTGATTTAATATTTCTACAGATAAATTTAACGATGTCCCACATTGCATTTTGGGGCATCAAACGTGTTCAAACTGAACATCGAACAAGGCAATGTATGATGTGTTTTTCATGCCACCTGTGTGTGGGATGTAGGGTAGAGTGTATACGTTCAAATATTACATCTGGCCAGCATGCGAGGAACAAGAAAATGAGTTTCTCTTGATCCTTTCTGTGCACAGATTGCTAAGTGGAGTGTCTGCTGTGGTGGGAAACAATGAGGAGCCTTTGAAAAGTTCTCAGGTAGAAATTGCACATGAATGCACAAACTATTATGCCCCAACAACATTGTGTTGCGTGAGTCATCTTTTGTGGTGGTGCAGTTTTTAATTGTAACATTTCTGTAATTTTCCTTTTTCAGGATGGCAGTTCAATGGTGAGGCGTAATTTAAACTAATTACCATCTTTCACAGTTGAACAATTATTTTGAAAAACATGAGTTGGCACTGAAATGTATTTAAAGCACTCAATTTGCTTATGGGTATACATTTGTACCAACTAAAATGTTATTTTTTATTTTAATCCATGTTGGTTGTATTTGTCAATGAGATACTAAAATTATGTTTAAGCTCATAAATCATACTTTGCTATAAACTAATATGAGTCTTCAATCAACAATCATTATGCATATACCATGGTTAGCTTCCCACGGTAAATAGCATACATTGTGTTTTGGAAAGAACATTTGTTCTAGTTTGTAAAAAAAAAATACATTTATTTTTTAAATGTCACCATTTAATTTAATAACAATTACGTTTTAGGCAGACAAAATGAAAATAGAGATGCTGGAGAGGCAGATGAAGAATGCTGTACAGATAAAGGATGAAGCCGAACAAAAATGCAGGTAGGAAAACTGCTTTGTTGCATTATTGCACGTTGCTAATTTTGACATTCATTATACATCCATCAGTACAATTACACAGGCGAGCTGCATGCCAAGGGCCACTTTATGAATAGGAGCAATCAGATTTTTTAGGTATTTAATGTTTTGTTGTGTGACTTTGAAAAAGAATGTACATGCACGCAGGTATACGTACACATCAAAGCTATGTGATAAGTGGCTGATTTGGATGTAGGTGTGTATGTATGGGTTTGAAAAAACAAATATTCTGGATTTCTTCACTAATTTAAATGAGGTGTCATTTGAAAGCTTATGTTTAGTTTATGCAAACAAAGTTAAATAATACCTTTGACCCAATTTGTTTAGCTTTTGGTCCTTGCAGCTGCTTATCCTCTCTGCCAACTGTAATAATAGCCCAGCATGACAGCCTCATTTCATGATCATATAATGGATGTGTGTGTCATTGGGGAAGGCTTGTTGCTTGTGTGGGTACTTCCCATGCTTGTATAAACTGGTGGGTAGTGAGGAACAGGTGAATGATGAATGTCTGACAAGGGTAAGGATGAATCATGTGAGTGACAGCTTATCCATAGTACAGGCTTCGCTGCAATGCTTAATGCTTACGTTTTGTGTATTGTATGTATTTGATGCGTTGAACATTTGTTCTATGAATAGGAGGCTTATTTTATATTTTATGTATTTATATTGCAACATAATTACATTAAAGTTTAAAAAGTTAATTCATGATTTTTTGAATATTTTGATGTGAGAAAACATGAGTAACTTGTGTTGCTAACTTTTAATATTAACGCCAACTCTGGTGTTCATTACAATGTTAGGAATGCAAACTCTCGGCTGGAGAAGTTGTTGAAAGATCTGGAAGAAGAGGTGAGTGTGAATCTAATTGTGTTGCATGACTCAGAATAGCAAATCCTGCCTTGCAGGGGATGCGGCTGACGATGCAAGGTGTCTAATGGCATAGTCGAGGATTGGTTTTATGATGAGCCTCCAGGGTCAGATTGGCCTTGCCCATGTGGATTGAAGATATCATCTTTTGATAATGAAATTTTCAACAAATATCAACTTCAAAATGATTTTCTTCCACTTTTCAGTAAACACACAAAAAATACAGAGTTCCCATTTTATTGACTTGCGGTGGTGTGTTTTTTTTGCCAGTTGTGCCTGTTAATGGAAATACATTTTGAAAGTAGCTACTTTAAACGTGCATTTTATGGTGATTTTGGTTTACCATGTTCTTATTTGATATAAAATAAAGGTGATAAATGTGAATGCGTTTTAGATGCCAACTTAGAGCTAGAGACAAAGCAGTGGCATGAACGAGATGTAATTAGAATTAAATTCATTTAAACATCCACTTCTAGTCAACTTGTTCTCAAATTAGATCTCTTGAAGCTGAAATCAATTTGATATTAAATTTGTTTTAATTTTTAAGGACAGTTTTGGATATTTTTGGTATTTTCTGATTGGTTACATTCTGGAATGTCATTTGTCTTCGTGTTAACAAAATTTACGTCACCTGATGCGATGTGACACCACTTGGCAGAAAGAACACGAAAATGGTGTTGTGAGGTCAGGTTGAAAATCAAACAAATGTCGAATGTAGTGGACATATTGATGCCCTCACGTCAATTTCATGACCTTATCATAATTGAGTTCAAAATGTTATATATTTTTGTCTCCTTTGTATTGATTGCAATTTATTCTCTCATACAGTTCCCTTTATTAGCCTAAATATAACATTAGCATTCTTAAACGCATAATTAGAAGCATGTATTGTGAACATTATAATAATTTCAAATGATAAATTGATATCTTTCTAGATTTGAAGCTTTCGTGACTGCAAGGATTCATATTCTTAGGTTTTTTCGGTAAAGTCACGTAGGTAAAAATTTTTAATTAACAAAAGTAAAATAAAATAAAAATCACGACGTTTCGGAGGCAACACAAGCTTCCGTCTTCAGTGATACAGCTGGAACCATCACAGCACGATAGCTGTATCACTTGATATAGCTATCGTGCTGTTACGGTTCCACCTGAAGACGGAAGCTTGTGTTGCCTCCGAAACGTCGTGATTTTTATTTTACTTTTATTAATTTGAAATTTTTACCTACGTGACTTTACCGAAAAAACCTAACAATTGATATCTGCCCAATATGTAGTTAGACTAGAATTTTATATGTTTAAAAAAAGCCCAACGTTTCGCCGACTTTGGTTGCTATCTCAGCCTGGCACATGAGTGAGCCCACAGCTCCTGACGAGCCCCGCTTGTGCTGCTGCTTCGCCTGCCTCCTGGCCCCGTCAGTGCGTGTCGCGCAAGAATCTTGAAGCGCAACTGAGACAGATGGAGCGAGACAAGGCACTGGTGCAGCACAAGATGGTAGAGCAGCAGCGTCGGGCCGATGCAGAGAGCGATAAGAAGAGGCATCTTGACGGAGAAGGTCAGAAAATGACCCCCCCCCCTCGTCCACCACATGACCTTTCCTGCTGAGAAATTAAGTTAATTGCTTTAGAAGAGACACCCGTGTTCTGTTCAACATTCCTCTTCATGAAGATAATTGTAGAAAAATGTTTTGTGGCATCGAAAGGTCGCTTGTGACACACCAGCAGGTACATAGTTAAGTGGCGTTTAAAAGTTGGATTATCCTATCTTAATTACCAAGTTGATTTGTGGAGTAGCTTATTTGACCGAACAATAATTTAAGTTTTAATATTCCATTTATAAGCAAAATAACGAAGCACAAAAATGCACAATATATACTGGTATGTTTTATATAAGATAATATTAAAGCACTGCATTGCGAATGTTGAATTATAATTAATACATCTGCACCTTAGTCATTAACACTACATCACAACAGAAACATATTTACTTGTTAGTGCACAGACCCCCTCTTCAGTGCAGAAGTCGAGCATAAATATTAACTGCTTTTCATTTTAACACTGTTCAGAGGTCAACTTTTATTCCTCCTCGACTCCCAGACTACTCTCCCCATCATGAAACTCGATCTGCCACAACATCTCAGAACTATCAGGCCTTCTCCTTTGACATCTGGATCTTCATACGTACATTTTGCCCTCTTGATTGTCCATACCATTGCAGATATCTCCTCATTCGTGATCTCTAAAGGAAGGCAACATTGATTTTCTGTACCAGCCTGAGACCTGGGCACTCGCCACAGGACCATAACTCTCTAAAACTACCCCAGAGACTGGCGACCACCTCTGAGCATGCTCCTATTCACAATAGAGGTTGTGGTATTGCTGTTATCACTAAACCTGACTTCAAAGTTTGACTTTCTACCTCCTTGCCAAGCTTAAACTTTCTATTGTTCATCACCCACCTAAATAAAATTTAGATTTACGTCAGATTATTTTCGACTTTTCCCACAATTTGGAGCTATCTTCCTCCTCTCCATTAATAATTGCTGGCAACAATATCCATGTTGATGACACTACTGATACAACCTCAACTATCAGTCACTCGCCAAGGACATATTCTTTATCTTGTTATATCTAACTCCTATTCTACTTTTCTCTCTTGCACATAACCTTTTTTTTTTAGTGACCATCACCTTATATTTTTTTCTAATTTCCTTTCCAGGCCTACTCTCTTTAGGTCCCAAATCTCCTTTCTATCTCTTCTCTGTTCTTGCATTCTTCATCATTACAGTAAACCCTTGTTAATTCGACACTATGGGGCTCTGGCCTTGCCGAATTATCCAATATTCTGAATTATGTACAATGGTCCTCTCCAGTGCCTCCTATCCCAATTAAAAGAAAAAAAAATCCAAATTTGTTTTGCAGTTATTTTTTTCCTAAGAAAAGTAACACTTACCATCAGTAACCAGCAGTTTTCACTTAATGTTTACTTAAAGACTACATTCTTTTACACTTTTACACCACATGACTCGCTGTCAGATGACATCAGCTGATGTGACACTTCACTGTTGACAATGGTGTCTTCACACACCATACGCATTGACGCATCTGCATAAATTCTATTCAAAACTTTTTATTTGTCTTACAGACTAAGGGATTTATACTTCAGTCCCTTTATATTACTTCTTCATGTAGGTGTAGATGTCATTTCTGAGATGGTTTGTTTGCACAGAGTGCATAAACAAGGGAAAGTCCAAAGCAACAGGTCTGCACTAATGCTCACCACGCGCTCCACCACTAGACTGAGTTATTGTTTTTGTTGCGGCGTGCTGCGTCATGTATGCCGAAATTGGAACATTTGGTACGACAATTCGGCTTGTGGAGAATTACTAATATATACGGTATATGCCGAAAGCGCAGCCGTGCCGAAATATCCCCAATTACGAATGATCAAATACCGAAATAATGAGGTTTTACTGTATATTGGTTTATTAAACCATTTAACCCCCTCCATTGACTATTATAACAACATTTTAGCTGCACTTACTGATTTCACCCTGAATTAGCCACCACACTGTAAATGGTTACAAGTACAAATCTAATTTTCTGCAATCTGCTTTTAATACATGCATTTGCTCAATAATGTGTTTAATTGTGAGACTGTTCATGATGACATGCGTGTTGTTTTATTTTTAAGTGCTACAATAATTTGTTGTTGAATGTTTATTGTTCTGCCACAGTAAATAGCCTAAAAGAGCAGCTGGAGGAGCTTAAGAAAAAGAATCAAAATTCACAAGTCTCAAATGAAAAAGTCACCTTATTACAAAAACAGGTAAACGTGCCACAAATCACACATGAGGAATGTGAACTCATTTAAAGAGCTGATAATTATATAGGAAAGGCTGCCCTTTTCTACATAAATGCCAAGTACGTTTCGTCGATACTCTGGAGAGAACATTTTAAGTGGATAAGTAACCTCCAATCACCATATTGCTTCCGCTTGGCTGTGTATTCAATATAGCACATTTTGCGTGTATGATTGCAGCAGTGGAATATGTTGTTGGGCCAGTGTTGACTCAACATTAACTTTGGAGGATAACTATTCTTTCCGACCTCATCTGGTAATGACTAGACAGCGGCTTAGCCATTAGGAGGAACAATTGGCAAATGAATTCCTGTCCAAGTAAGAATAGCTTCTGGTGATCCACTGTTGTCTGGGTAAAAGTTTCCCATTTTCTCCCCTCAACAGTCTGTTGCCTTTCCCCAAAGTTTCATTTGTGCCTGTTTAGAGGTGGAAGTATCCATTAATAACTTTTGCAAAGTACTGCAATTCTCTTGAGTTAAAATGTAGCCAAATTAAGTGAAAACTAAATTTAATTAGATATTTGTTGGTGCATTCAATGGTGGCTGGGTTCAGACAATTAATTTGCTACATTTGGGAACCAAACTCAAGTATGGGAAACTCAAACTGATCATTTAGGGCTGGGGGTACCATTTTCTTATCAAAGCCCTGTTATTTTCATGACTATCAAATTAACCTATTTATGGTTCATAATTTTAGTTGTATTGCTTTTTGTATTGTAAATTTTAAAAAAAATTGTATTATCAAAACAATTAAAAATAAAGGCAAAAAAACACCACTGAAACTTTTGAATGTCACAAGCCTATTATGAGACCCACATTCTAAATGATACAGTAGTTAATGTATAATAGTCTACTTATCTGAGACTGCCTGGCATGTGACATTTTTTGCGTAACATGCAAGAGCTGCTATCAATGGGTATTTCTGTGCATGCTCATTGGATTCCTCCCGCATAAATACATCTTCTAATTGCGATCTTTAACATCATGGCACGTTCACTCCCCCGCCCCGACAGCTTGATGACAGCCTGGAGGAGCTTCGCTCGGAGCGGGAGGCGTGCAGCCGGGCCAAAAAGGTGCAGGCGGAGGGGGCACGTGCCCTGGCCGCCCTGGAGGACGCCGACCGCGAGCTGGGCGAGCACGTGCGCAAGCTGGAAGGAGAGAAGCTGGCACTGGAAAAAGAGCTCATCGGCCTGCAGTCGGCACTTGACTCGGAGCGCAGGGACCACACGCAGGGCTCGGAGCTCATTTCCGACCTACAGAGTACGGCCCTCTAAACTCGCGCTCTCGCTCAGTGTTTTGCTTCCAAATTCATAATCGTGGTGAATCTATATATATATATATAAAAGGGAAATTTGTGAATGTGTGTCTGTTCGAAATGTTTAGCATACTTCCCAACATGCAACAAACTTTAAATTTGGCATGTGGGTAGCTTCCAGACTGTACACAATGCAAAAAGTATAGAAATAGACTTGTATTTTGGGGGTGGGGGGGGGGGCGCAATAATGAATATATTTTGCACGGCAAGTGAGCGGTGACGTCACATCTGTGATGTCACCCGCATGCGGCAGCGTCACGCAGTGTGCCTGCTGACGTCACGCATCCCCCCCCCTCCGCGTAGACCGTGTATTAATCCAAGACAAGAATCTAAGTCTCGGGCGAAGCCGGGTCGTATAGCTAGTATTCGATATTTCCCCAGCTATTACATTTTTTCTATGCATTCTTAGTTGTGAAAAGATTAGCTACATATATCTATCTGAGCATTTTTCGCTGGTATCAAAAATGATTAAAAAAGAATATGCTTTACCATATTCCGCAACATTACAGGTATAAAGATATCTAAACGCCGAATAGACACCTGTTGCAAGGCATCAAGTCTGCATCAACCACACATGCTTGTGGTAAAACAATGTGTTTGAACATCTTAACACCTGCATTATTGTCGAAAGGGTAAATCCTATTATTTTTTCACAATTTTGATGCCAGCAAAAATATTATCCCATGCAGTTTAATCCGAGGTTTGAATGTTTTGATATTTGCATTGCTCTTGTCCTGTTTGCCTCTTGGTGTTCTCTGGTCTAAAACTGGTGAGACAAGGCAATGCTGTCTGGTGTAGGCCAATCAGTTTCAAAGACAATGCAAACATTATCAAAGCATGTTTGTTTGTATGTTTTACCACAAGCAAGTCTGGTTAATGCAGACTTGATGCCTTGCAATGGGTGTTTATTTGGTGTTTGAACATCATAACACCCCTTTCATTGCCGGAAAAGGGTAAAGCTTATTCTTTTTCCATGAAGGTTAGGATGTGCGCAATTCTGCATATGCTATTCCGGCTGCTTGCGCGGCGAGTAGTGGCGTGGTTAACGCTATCCAATGAACCTGGCAATCTAAGTTCGGTTCCCAGGTGCACTGTGCAAACATAAACACTGCAGATGCAAAGGCAGATGATCGTAGTGCTAGCCACACCCCAGCGCCTCATTCACCGCTCCAACCTTGATATAGATGGTCGTGAACAGCATTTGTCACAGCAGTCTGTCGGGTTTTATTGGGAACCTTTTGTGTGCTTGTATGTATGTCATTGTGCATTTGTTTGTTTGTGTGTGTGTGTACGTGCTTCTTCAATGGAAAAATGTAAATTCTCGGTGCCACAGGCCGACTGTCCTCGCAGCAGGAGAAGCTGAAGGAGCTCCGGAGCAGCCTGTCGAGGGCAGAAGTTGAGCGTGGACAGCTGCAAGACAAGCTGTCCTGCATTGAGAAGGTTTCCTTCACTCACACACCCACCCATCCACTTATCTGATTCTCCAGTTTAGCAACGCACAAACCACCTGCTTACCAATGCATTCACCTAATTAGTTAACATTTGATTTACTAACTCACCATTACACACGGCAACCTGCCCACTATCTTCTCCGTCTACCCACCTACCAGACTGTTAAGCCACCCATTCAAACAGACGTATCTTTACAGCCAAATTGAATTTTTCCTGTTTAGTCACATTCAATAATTTGCCCATTTTAGCACTCTCCTAATTTCCACAGCTTACCCCTTTGGATTTTAAAACTATTCCCACTATGTTCCAGTAAGTATTTTTATTTACCACTCTTAGTAAATGTGGTTTAGCTTTCTTTTTAGCACAGCTTAGAATTTTAATCTGGTTTTGAAATATATTAAAAATAATCAAATCGTTTGCACTGCAATCAAAACATATCGGTGGAATGAGTCATCTAGGGATGTCATAGCTTCAGATAGTAAGATTGAAAAATATTTTTTATAATATAAATACTTTCATCACCACCAAATTTATTGTTTCTCCAGTAAAAAGGAGTGGTTGTCCATTATCAGTTCCAGATAAACACTGTTATTATTGCGTTTGTCCACAATATTTTCCACCACTTGAGTGCAACATGGGTGTAGAGGTAACGCAATGGTTAGTGAATCTTGCTTTGAACTCAGTGACCCGAGTGCAATTGCTGTCAACATCAATGGCAAGTGATATCTAAATCGATCCTTGACACAACAACACCCCCTTCACAAACCCACACTGACCATTGTGGTGAAGTATGATGAAAAAACACCCTTGCCTGAACGTCATAGATTTTGATTTCAAGCTTTTGTGACTGTAGGGATTCATCTTCTTGGTTCTTTTGGTAAAGTCACATAGAAGGGAAATAAAACATTTTTTATTATGTTTTATTTTTTTTATTTTATTATTTCCCTTCTACGTGACTTTACCGAAAGAACCAAGAAAATGAACGTCATAGGTTGGGTGGCCTTTTTCCATCAGTGGATTCATAAAGAGATCTTTACGTATGCAACACGGTTACAAAAAGTAATTAACATCCTGAATTTCTGCTGCTTATATTTTCTTTTTTTAACCACGCACAGGAGAAGAGCAGCATTGAGATTGACCTCAACTTCAAGCTGAAAACAGTTCAACAGCTCCTTGAGCAGGAGACACGCGAGCACCGGGAGGCAAAGGCTCGCCTCGCCGATCGCAGCAGTCTTGAAACGGCCGAGGAGGCGCACTCCCAGGCCATCAGCGGTACGGCCCCTCGCAGCTCATCGCTCGCCGCCCACCGAATACACCCCCTTACACGTGCTGCGTCGCTCAAAGGCGTGCCTGCCTTGGGCATGGCACTGTGGAGGATGTTTCCATTGTGCCTCTGCAGTGTTTTTGTTTTATGCTTTGATTTTTGCTTTCATATTGGACTTGTTTTTACCCGCATCTCCCTCGAAAAGAGATGTTTGGTCTCAATTGCCCTTACCTTGTGTAGGTACCCTGCAGAGGAATTTTCATGCTGTGATTTTGCTACAAATTGACAAATCCCATGCACTTGACATGTATGGATTCCAGATTCCATATTTCAATTTACATTTTAGTGCCAATCTGGAATCTTGAGCGCTTTACATTCAGACAATTTTTAATGCGTTAGCAGTCTTTTGTGGACATCTTCAAAATGTCCACGTACAGCTAGCCTTAGATTGTGTAAGAGCTTTCTGTTTAATTCAAAGTAGAATGTTGTGACCCCCTCGGTTCCTATAATCCAAAACAATGCAACAAGATTTTAAAGCAGTATTTTTCATCAGAATTCTTTGAAGATGAGCTGAGCCTGTTTTACTCTGTACATTTTTTCAAGATTTTCATTTATATATTAGACTCAATAGTAAACAATCAAATATAAATGACTTGGTCTTACTATTAAGAGAGTTACTTCATGTCAAATAAACTCAATGAATCATTATTTCAGGGCACTCTAAATTGTATAATCTAACAAATTTCATGTGCCGCAGTAGGGCACTCTAACTCTTGCACATCTCCGATCTCATATTGGTAATGAGAATTGCATTGCTCAGGACGCAACGTTCGCCTTTGTCCTGCACACCCACACAGAGCTGGAGAGCAAACTGGTGGAGGAGAAGGCAAGCAAGCAGAGATTGGAAGCAGGACAAGTGGAGGCTGAGAAGCGCTGCTCTATGTTGGAGCTGGACCTGAAGCAGTCAAAACACAACACTGACATGCTCCTCAAGCAGAAGGAGCGCCTGGATGAAGAGGTCAGCGATGTATAGCATGAGGATACGGAGGATGCTGTTTAACACAAACCTGTGGTTTGGCCATTGGTGTTTTACCTATGTGCTCTGGTTCACAGTCGATTGGTATCATTGGAGTCAACAAGACCCACATAGTAGCTACCTTCGCTGGTGAAGTGACATGAGTGTCTGGAATGGGGGAAATGGGTTGGCTGGGTGTCCCTTTACAGCTTCAGATGTGTAGGAGAGATTATGAAGCAAATAGAGGTGAATGTGGACAGTGAAATTAATTGGCCTCCACAAAAAAATATTTTTTGTAATCTATTGTTATGCTGTCATTCAATGAAATGGGAACAGAATATATTTAATAAGAGCATCGAGGTTAATTTACAAAGCAATCTGTCTCTTGTCAAAGCAATGAACAGGTTGTTTCTCAGATTAAGGAGTGCTATGTTGAATATAAAAATGTACAATAATATATTTTCAACTTTCTGAATAGTGACTGCGTAGAATTTTAAATAATATCTACATATGGCTTGTTCACTGCTCTGAGAATATATCGCATTTCATTGGCAAGTGCTTGACACCCAGGATGTGTTGCCTTGCGGCTAATTTGAATGGCTCCCACAGGTGAGAAACCTGGTACTCAAGCTGGAACAGGAGACCCAGAAGAGGCAGCTGGCTCTTAACGACATGAAGGCACAGTCGCAGCAGCTGAGCGTTGTGCGTGCCTCTGAGAAACAGCTCAAACAGGAGATCAACCTGCTCCTGGCAGAGAAGACGGCCCTGGAGAAGCAACTCGCAGACCTCAGAAAGTACGAGTTTCTCTGCCACTTCTCCATGTCTATTGCCCCAAGTTCAGTGCATTTTTTGACGTGTAAAAAAATCTTAAGTTTATCCCAATTTTTTATTTAAAGCTTCGTGACTGCAGGGATTCATATTCTTGGTGTTTTCGGTAAAGTCACGTAGAAGGGAAACAATAAAATAAGAAAAATATAAAGCAATACAATTGTAACGACGTTTCGATTGCAACACAAGCAATGATGATGATTGCTTGTGTTGCAATCGAAACGTCGTGAGAATTTTATATTTGTATTTTATTGTTTCCCTTCTATGTGACTTCACCGAAAGAACCATGAATATTCCAATTGTACGGCCAAGTATGTATGTTGAACTTCTTCCTCATTGTCCATAGCCAACCGTGCTAATCGGAGTGTCATATGATACAAATTATTCGGTTGAAGCTGTTGCAGAACAGTTCCACGCTTCCTGTTAGAAATTGGGCCACAGAGGTCCCTTCTAGTCACTTATGGTCCACATTGTATGGGCAGCACTTGCTTACCTGCTTAGCCGCAAATATGTAAAATTTGCAGAGTTGAAATTTAGCCAAATTAATATAAAAAACAAATTTATGGTGATGGTTTATGTAGTTATTGGTGACTAGGTTGAGACCATCAACTCACTGCACTTGAGAACCCAATTTAACCATAACTCATGATCTCTGGTGACAGCTCAATGCTCTGACCTCTGGGTCATTGGGCCACCTACTAGTTAAACAAATGCTTTAAAGTGCCTGCATCCTTAAATAAGCAATAGCCTCATCTATTTTTGGTAGCCACTGGGTAAGAAGTGATAGCTTCACACTTCTACGGCGGTGACCACCCTCTCCAAATGGACTTCCACTATTTAATTTCCACAAAGTGGTACTTGTTTTGGAAGGATGATCGGCTGGCTAAAACATTCGATTTGGGTTTTAGCTCATGATTTGTTCAGTCAAGTACTCTCCCAATCATGAGGCTGCCTCAAATTGGGCATTGGTGAAAGTGGTAGGATGTGCAAGTGTGCGTTGATTTCTGCTCAAGTTAGTGTAGTGCAGCATTCCTCATCTCCCATTATAGCCCTGAGCCAAGATTAAAAATATTCCACTTTCCTCTTCACGTCATTTTATCAATCCTGGATTGATGAAGGGCTGAGGCGACCTCCGACTGGGATTTAAAATGTAAATCTTCTGATTTGAAGCCACTCACTACAGCTGTGCCACCTGGCTGTTGTGTATACTCTAAAGACGAACAAACAAATGGGTGGGAAATATTAACAGCAGGTGGTATTGAACAGACTAGGAAATAATTAACTTGTTAGTAACTATCTGGGTGGAAATATAAACTTGATAAGTGCCCATAGCAGTAGACTATAAACTAAAAAAATATGACTGCTACTATTTGCTGTAGTCAGAAATCGGTCGCAAATAAATATTTATATTGATGAATGTATTGAACTATCTTTTAGAGTTAAATGTTAGATGCAGGAAGTGACTTTGGCTCTTAGCTGGGGTTATATTTATAGGGGCAGCTGCTGTGTTTAATACTGGTAGGAACCTCCTGGTTCCACCAGCCCACAGGGGATTATTGTGCCCGTCCGTCGTGCATCCAAAAATGGGAGGGGTGGGGCTGGGTGGAGAGGGGAGGGTGGAGCTGGGTGGGGAGGGGAGGGTGGGGAGGAGCTGGGTGGGGAGGGTGGGGCTGGGTGGGGAGGGGCTGGTCACCCCGTGGTGCCCTTATAAAACTCAACGTTTAACCGACTCACACCAGCTTGTGCCCGCCCTCACAGTCGGGCATATTTGTGGAATACACCACGCCGCCGTTGACCCTGGCCTTTGACCGAGCAACCCAACGTTCCTACCAGCTTCCTCCGCAGGAATGTGTTTATCATCATGTAAAATGATTGTTTAAGGGTTTGTGCTCTCTCTCCAAACCGGTTTCTTCCCATTTCACTTCTAGGTGGCGACTTGACACGGAAGGGCAGATGAGAGAACTGCAGGATCAGCTGGAGACAGAGCAGTACTTCACGGTAAACATTTCATGAGCGTGGATGTTTATGTTCTACCTTTATTATTGCTTTGCAGTAGTTTAACTTATCCTAGTGAAAACCATTTAATTGTCTTTTTTTTCCTCTGTTTTTTGTAGACGTTGTACAAAACACAGGCTCGGGAGCTGAAAGATGATTGTGAAGAAAAGACAAAGTTTAACAAGGAGTTCAAACAGAAAGTACATGAGCTGGAGGATGAAAGGTGCTTTGTCTACCATGTTTTGCCATTTTTATGATGTTTTTAAGCATATTTTACATTTGCTACAACAAACTTTAATTTCTAGCTGTTGCTTTAATTTCCCTAATATGTAGGATTTGGCAGCCAATATGATTCATATTAGATTTTTGGGTTCGGCCACGATCAGCCAAGCAAATTAAATGATAATGTGTACAAGCGATTAATTTGCCAATTATTGTGTCAGCTAACCGGTACGTTGAATACAAATTCTGCCAACCATATTTAGAAATTAGATGCAATTAAAATTTCTATATTTAATCCCTATTTTTTTGTCAGTTTTCCAGTGTAGACTTCAGTAAAATTGGAATTTAATTAACAGGCAACGTTTATGACAAGACATTACACAACTTCCTTGTCTGTCTGCTCATGTAACTGGAATCAGACTGTCATCTGCTTTGCACTCCACCCTTATAGGGATTCGCTGGCGGCACAGTTAGAGTTTGTGGCAAGCAAGGTGGACTCGGAGCAATCGGCACGCTCCCATGCAGAAGAGCAGTTCTCCAACATCGAGCAGGAGAAGATCATGAAGGAGCTGGAGATCAAGGAGGTGGCGCAGCGATACAAGCAGGAGCTTATACAGAAAGAACGCCTCATTACAGATGTACATAGTGCATGGTGGTAAAATACGACCAAAGCAGGTTTCAAACACCAGCTCTGGAGCGGCAATATTTAAAGTTCAATCACGTAAAGCAAGCTGTGCAAAAAACAGTCCTTGTAGTGGTACCTATCGATCTCCTATACTGAATAAATATTGTAATGGTTTGGATTGGTATAACTCTGCAACAACCCACACTATCTCCTGTCTCCTTTCCCCTCAATTTGTTTCTTTATCTCTACCAATAATGTACTTTGGTTTCGCACTCCTCAGCCTGTCCCTTTGCCTAACCCCCATTCCCAACCTCTTCTGCTGCTCATCCTTGCTCAATGCTGCTGCCTTCATTTCTCACCTTTTCATCATCTGCCACCATGACTGCCCCTGAAACTCAATGCTGATGGACCCTGTGACCCCCCCTTTGAATGCCCTAGGGACTTGGTGCTGCCCTGTGCACGACTCTCCCTGTGGCTTGTTGTTGGTGCAGGGCCATGCTTGCTGTGCTATAGTTGCTCTCCTCTCTCCCGTGTTTCACTACCGTGACCCATCGCTCCACACCACACCCACATGTACCCTAGTGTAGATTTGTGCATTTTAATTTCAGGATTTTGCGATACAACTGCATTTATATCCTATAATACATTTTATATGTTTATGAACCAGTTCAAAATACTAGTTTTTTCCTTTGGAGTTTCAAACAAAGTAATTTACTTACACTCCTATCCTTTTTACACTTTATACAGAATTGCATGTGCTTTGTTACTGTAAAGAAAGTTTAAGTCACGTGTGTTTTTACATGGGTAAAGGATGGGTGTATTTGTTTATTAGTTGGAGGACAGTAAGAAGGCTCTCCTGGAACAAGTAACCACGTTGCACAGCGAAAAAGATGAAATCAACACCAGGCTACAGACAGCAATGGAAAGTAAGTTCCTAACACTAAATAGGCTGCATTCAAATTACATGCATTATAAATGTTGAACGAGAATCCAAATCGTAAAGAGAGGGTTGTCTATAAGATCGACAGTTCACAAACAAGCCTGACTGCTAAGTGATGAGACTGTTAAAACCGGTCTAGAGTAGTGTATGCCTCGCTGTTTTGTGGGTCGACTCAGCCCCTCATTTCTCAAAAGTGTTAAACTTCATGGGAAGTTGACAGTAGTTATATTAATGTAATCACCCTGCTTATCAGAATATGGAATTTACACTGTTTAGTCTGGGCTATAGGCAAGCGATAAACACTGCTCTGTGCTCGTTTGAGCAGGACAATATAATTATATTTTCTTACTAATCTATTACCTGTCAACTTTAAGTTCTCATAATAATGTACACAAATTGTAATGAATGCTATTTAGTGTTTGTTTATTTGCTGTTTAAAACTTTTCACATTTACCAAAACCTGAAATGGGCTGATGTAGTCCTGCCCCTCTGTTAACTATGAACTCTGTATTTACAACAGATATCCAAACGCTTAAGGAAGGTGGCACAGACATTGCCTACATTAAGGCTCAGTATGATAAGCAGCTGCAGACTGAGAGGACGCTGAAAACACAGGTGGGTCTACCCATGATGAAAATTGAATGAAAAGTTTTGCTTTGTGGTCATTTTCTTTTATATCCACCACCTGTTTTGCACAAACCTCCTATACAAACATTCGTATGTAGACCTTCAATGCATTAGCGTGTGGGAGATTTGTAACATCGCCAACATGTGATCAACAATGGTAAAGTGGCACCACTTGTTCCTTCTGGAGTTTACAAGGACCGCAGCTGGCTCAGCCGTGAAACTCATCAAACCTTAATAAGCATGATATGGCTCTGCTAATGAGCACATAATTAATTAGATTCTTGTTTACCAAGTCCTTCATTCTTGAGTGTGCACCACCAGGCACGACCCACGTTAGTTGTATCGTTTTCGCCTGCTATAGTTCTCATGGGCAAGATGTCAGAGCCTTGGATGATTTAGATGAAAATTCAAATTTTGCAATGAACATTTTCTACCACTCATAAAGGAGAGACCTCCAACTGCTTTGTAAGCATTGATGCAGACAAGAAAGGCACAGTTAATGTTTTTCTTGTCTGCCTTGAGGCATAAATCTAGCATCGCTACTGTGGGGGCTCAGTGCTTTTGTCACATCCCATTAGCTGCCACAACACATAACCACATTTCCTCTTCTTATTACATAACTTAAAAATAAATAGCATTCATGTAAAGTAAAAAAATACATCTGCTAATATGGGTTACGTAGATCTGGATCAGGTGATAAAGCCAAAGATTAAAGAGATGTGTACATTTTACAGCTACAGCAGACAGCCAAAGGAAGTCTCCAATTAATAAAATCTGATGTTTCCTGCTGGTAGCCAATTGAGTAGCAATTAAAAGTCATGAAAGCAGACATTAATGCGAACTTCATGAAACGGATGCTGTTTTTTTATTAATGCGTTGAACATGATGTTTTTAAGGCGGTCAACAAGCTTGCGGAGATTATGAACCGCAAGGACATCCACATTGACCGCAATCGCAGCAGTGGCACAGACCTGAAGCGACGGGAGAAGGAGAACCGCAAGCTGCAACTGGTGCTCAACCAGGAAAAGGAGAAGTTCTCCCAGATGACCCTCAAGTACCAGCGCGATTTCAACGAGTTGCAGGCAGTACGTTCTGCCGCCCACGAAAGCGCACACTAGCAGGCCTAATCTGTGGCTTAACCATTATCTTTCGGACAATCGCAGGCCCGCTAAGGGGCTTATTACTCCAAGGATATCAGGCCAGACGTATGCCTTAGCCTGGCTTCCTGACTGTCACTAGAAGGCTAGCTTTATGCCTTACCCGTTACCCTGACAATATCAGGTGGTTATGAGTCTTAATCTATACCCAAACTCCTTCATGGAGAGTAACAGCCCTGCTATACCGCTTGCTCATACTCGAGCAGTAACATATAGCCTCCATGTTAGCGTTGAGACTTATTTCATATTCTGACTATAAAGCTTATTTCAACTCACAACATTTTTAAAAATTATGAATTCCCAGCTGACCTGTTGTGCATTTAAATTCTGCTAAGGAGGAAATCGCACTTGCCAGTGTCATTCAACCCATTAATCTCCTGTAATTAAGACAGTTTTTCCCTTGTGCACGTCAGGCACAATTAAAACCAATTGTTAAGATAAATTATATTTTCTACCCCTCACCACTACCCGATTGCCACAATTGGAATTAATTAGCCTGATGTTAAGGTCTCATTGAGTGCGGATTAATTCGCCACTGCCCCCCTCTTACATCACTGAGCCTGTTTAGCGCCTCTTACTGAGGACTAATGCCCAGACACTGAGAGGTTTAGTCCCTGATTGTGTATTCCCAACTGTGTTATGTGGTCCTCCTTCACTTTAGTAGTCATTGCACCGGGAGAATGAGGATGCACATGTTGCATTGTGAAAGGGGTGAACTGAATTAAGATGTAAAATTTGTAATCGGACTCCAGCTTCTAACCGGCAATGGTGTTTCCACAAAGTGATCATTTACACAAAGTGATCATTTACACAAAGTGATCATTTACACAAAGTGATCATTTACACATGGATGATGGTGATGAGTTTGTGAATAAGCAGAGGATTCATGACACAACATAAATAGTTATAATATTTTTGGAATGTACTTTTAGAGTATAACACAATTTGTGTTAAAACATGTAAATATCAATTTCAAGATTACTTAATCTGCTTTAACGTAATTGTGTGTATAGTTTGATACTTGTAGACTGACATGAAAACACTTGACTTTTTGAATTATGTACAATAAAAAATGGTCCCCCAGCATTTGTTAAATAGCACTGCTAACCTAAAATAGCGCCCTTATGGGTAGATCACTACCCATGCCCCGCACTGATTGACACTGTGATAGCTAGTTTTTTCGTGCCTGTCAAATTATATTCTTGCCTGAAACCCTCAAAACCCTACCACCCTTCACATCGTTCCCAATTCCCCTCCTTACTTTGTTCTTCATGCTTCCTTCCTTTCTGCACCCCTTGGTCTTGCCTGCAAACTCCTCTTCTCCGTGTACACATCAAACATGTGTCTGTCCCCTATTTCGTTTCTCTTTCCATTTGTGATGCGCAGCTAATGATGGAGGAGAACACAACGCGCATCGAGTTGCAGATGGTGCTGGACAGCAAGGACAGTGACATAGAGCAGCTGAGGTCGCAGCTCCTCTCCGTCCAGCTGGGCATGGACACTACCAGCCTCAGCAGTAACCATGGCGACTCGGAGCCAGACGATGGTTTCCCCGGTAACCACTCGAAATTCTTAAAAACCTGCCACCTTTCACGACTGCTAATTCCGAGCTCCCCTTGGTTTTCTAACAACTGCCCCTCTCAATCTTGCACACTCTTCAGTTAATCCTTTGTTGACTTTTCCATGATTGCAGTATTCATGTTGCTTATTCTCTATGGTTTCTTTTCTGTTGCTCTCTAATCAGTTATTAATTGTGTAACTTTGTATGCCAAATGATATCTTTATCTTTACTCTTGATTTAAATTCTGTTTTTCTCTCCATTTATTTGCACACCCATCCACAACCCATTTTTTTCTCATTATCTGCGCACAACACCCTCCACCACCACCACCTTTCACCACCTCCTCTCTCGCTCGTTCATCCCACCACCCTAAAGTCCGCATATCTCATGTACGTACTTCGGAGTCGATGTCCTTCTCCTATCAACACTCCACCTCCTCCATGAGCATTTCCACAAAACCCTGCTGCTCTGCGGATTCCGATGTGTTCCCTGATTCCCCCGTGGGGACACCCAACATCCCAGAGTATTTTGTGGAGGAGCCACCTGAGCCCGACTCTCCTAAAGGTGCCATGCATGTGTGTGTTTGTGTCTTCTTGTTAGATTTTTAGTTAAAAGTTAATCGATGCAATTTTCCCACAATATAGTTGGTTATTACTTTGTTCAAAATGGTTCCCAATGAAGGTGGCCCAGTGGCTCAAAAGTGAGCGTTTAACTGCCGCTGCTGTTATCCTGAGTTGGAATCCAGGCAACTGACTGTGATTAAGCAGAGTTCTCCAGTGTATTAAGTTGTCTCAGTCCGGTCACCACTCTGCACAAAAAAGCGTAATAAATTCAGGTTCCGCACTCAATTTAAAGCGAACTTAAACTTTGTCTCATGACGGGACACTGATGGTACGGTTTGCGTGAAAATACGGTCCACAATACTGCAATCAAAATTTTTACTTAAAACTTTCGTGACTGCAGGAATTAATATTCTTTGGTTCTTTCGGTAAAGTCACGTAGATAGAAAAATAATAATAAAAAATAAAGTGAATAAAAATAATAAAAACAAAAACCACGACGTTTAGATCGCAACACAAGCGGTCGTCATCAGGAAAAGGGGGGGGTAGCCTCTAAAAGCAAATTGTTTATAAAGTTTTAGAGATGGGCGTAGCCCAAGTGTGTCAGCAGCATGGGCGGGGCAGCTAATGCTAATGTAGGCCGGCAGTTGGTCTCCACAAAAAGGGCCTCCAGGCAATCATTGCACCTCGCTCCACACACCCACACTGCTGACGGTGGAGGTTGACAAGATAACACAAATCAAGTCATGACCCAAAGTGGTTGATGACATCTTTCCAATGATTGCTGAGTTCATAACCATCTTCTCGGTTGAAATTGTGTCTGTCTGTTTATATGGATGGCTTCATAAGCGAGTCTTTGTTGATAGCCAGTAGGCTTGCAAAGTACCATCGTCTTAGAGCAACCAATTTCCTGTGAGCCAGCCGCATTCAAGTAATGATCATCCACGTCAGAAACATTGGTCCTACCATGTTTCAAATCTGCCTTATGCTTACGAACACAGTCCGAGATATGTCGCTTAGTTTCCCCAATGTAACTGCTGCCGCAGATACAGCTTAGTTTGAAGACGCCGGGATATTGCATGTCAGGAATCTTGTCCTTCACAGATGGGATCAGATCACAAATTGTATGTAGTGTGTTAAATCGGACCTGGATCTTGTGTTTATTCATGTTTTTGGAAATATTTTTGGTTACCCCTGCTATGCATGACAGAGTGATGGTTTTGATTGGATCCTCAGATGGCTCCTTCCTCACGGTTTGAGTGATGGCTTTGCGGATTGTGTAGTCAGAATATCCATTCGCCTTGAGAGCTTGGTGTACTTGTTTGAGTATACTGGTTAGGTGTTCATCATCGGAGATACATTGAGTTCTATAGTGTAGCGTTTTGATAAGGGAATTCTTCTGGGATGGATGGTGGTGGGAATCAGGTTTTATGTAGGCGTCAGTTTTGGTTACTTTTCTGTAGAAAGAATGGCTCATTGAGCCATCTGGTCTCTTTTTGATTTGGACATCCAAGAAAGGTAGCATACCATCCTTTTCTACCTCCATGGTGAATTTGATGGCTGGGTGTATGGAATTGATGTGGTTGGGGAATTGGTTCAGAGCCGGTCGGCCATGTGGCCAGATGACAAACGTGCCGTCCACGTACTTCTTCCACAAGGACGGGCGTAGAGTGGATGCCTGGATGGTGTCCGTCTCAAAATTTTCCATGAAAATATTGGCTACAACCGTGATTTTTGTTTTCATTAAAGTTTTATTATATATATTTTTTCACTTTATTTTTTATTTTTTTTATCTACGTGACTTTACCGAAAGAACCAAAGAATATGAATACTGCAAACTCTTAGAGAGACTGCATGGTATTGCGGTGATCATTGGAACCTAATCCAACATGGTTGAATATTGTATCCATATTATAGCAAGGACATTTTTTATAACAAAATTACATTATTCTTTCTTTAATAAGGTAAATAACACACCCATCAGTCTTTGAAAAATATTTTTGCTTTATTTTATTTAAAATAATTCGCTCTTTGTTTTTGTTCATAAGCTGAGCCGTGGTCCCTGGCTGGGCTGCCCAGCCACAAGAGTGAGAGAGCGGGGATCGGACTCCCAGCCAGTATACTTCATTGTGCATAGACTTTGGCCATCATTGAGTTCCATGACTCAGTAATGTACTGTATTGCACAACTGAAATAAATGAAGCTGTAATATTTAATATGGGTTTTGCACAGTATTAGGAGACTGCAAAAAAGTTGCATGAAGGAAGGTTGCACTGTTTAAATTCTGTTTTAGTTTTGAATATGCACGGGGCACGATGCGTAATGCACTCAGCGATGCCAGGTTAATTGATGCTTGGTTGTTGCATTTCGGTGGCGCTTTGGTAAGGTGTCCAGACTAGATATTAGCATGTTGAAAGCTTGTGTCTGTAAAAGCAATAATTATATGGAAGTGTTTGATTTACCATTTGAGTGCTCGTAAAATTGAGGGTTCTTCCATATGGTTATTTCTCCTTTTAGAAGGCAGGCTGGAGGGCTGGTTATTCGTGCCAAACAAGAACATGAAACGGTTTGGATGGAGGAAACAGGTTTGTAATATATTTTTCTAAAAAAATTAAATCCACATTTAATATTAGAGCTCCCTTAAAATATAAAAGTTTATATTTTTAAGTTTATATTTTTACAGTCGCTATTTCACCGTTTGCCGGTGCAAGCCACAATGTTATCATAAATTCCAACTTGCATTAATACACAGAACAGCTATGATGTAACCTTGAGTACAGGATGACCTTCCTCTTTATTGCTTTGCACTGGCAGTATGTCGTGGTGAGCAGTAAGAAGATTCTCTTCTACAATGCTGAAGCGGACAAGGAACACTCCAACCCCTGCATGGTCCTCGACATTGAGTCAGTCCACCACCTACATACACATGTTATAATTTTATTGTGTTTTAATGTGCATATATAGAATTGCGTATGTGCTTGTTTATTTGTCAAGGACATCGAATGCGGGCACACGTCCTTGACACGGTGAACCTACCGTGGAGCTGATCTGCCCATTGGCAATCAACTTTTTATTTATAAGATGCACCTGCCATTCTTCAACTGCGGTGATGGGCGTCCACCTAGAACCCCATTCAAACCCAAAATAGCCTGCCAACAAAGGTCCTGGCCAGGCATGCAGAGGAGAGATCTCACTCCCAATCAGTTTTGCGGAGTTATCTTTGCATTGGCTGCATAGCGCTGTGTGGAAGCTCCATGTCTTCTTGGTCACAGTTATGCCTTTCTTCTCTATGCTTGCAAAACCTAGACCCCACTGACGTAACTTCTGCCCTGATTTGAAACATTCAGGCTTGCCTGCCTACAATCCATCCTGGGTCTAACCATACTGGATTGTGTGAGGAGCTCACAGATCCTTGAAAGATCTGGACATAGTCCCATTGGTGGGCTCCTCCAATCGGCAAGGTTACATTGACTGGGTCATGTAGCACGCATGCCCAGGCACCAAATGTCCAAGCAGCTTCTGTTTGGCCAGATTGAGGGGGATTAACGGGCACAGCACAGGCTAGAGAAGAGATTGGCTGATGTGAGGCAGCAGGATGTGCAGCTGAGTGGCCTTGTCGATAACTGGTATCGGCGGTGTAATGATGCTTCTGGGCAGTTGTTGGTAATTGCACTCCAGCAATAAAGAGGGTCAGAGGAGCGAGGGTCAGAGGAGCGACACTCACAACAAGAACAAGAGTGCCAGGCGCTAAAAATCTGTATGTTGGCACAGTAAGGAACACAGGTGGTGCATCTGTCCATCATATTAGTCAACCAATAACATCTGGGTGTGTCCTGTGACCTGCCAACGAGCATCTACACTTCCCGTGGCCTCAGAGTGCACCTAGCCTGGCACAAGCGCTGCGATGACGTCACTGCCACTTAGTGGCAAATGGTGGATGTTGTTTATTGTTTATAAAATATTGGTACATTGGGATCATATAAAAGATATCAGTTGAGGTTGTGCAGCATTGAAATTAACTTAAACCTTTCACAGTTTGGGGGAAGATGTAATCGTAGGTAATCTAACATACTTGTCATTAGACACAGTGGAGATCTGAAGTTGTATCCCTCATGAATGTGGTTGGCAATAAATGCTCTTCACAGCATTGCAGTGTATCATTGGCAGATTACCAAAGTGATAAAAGCAATTTTAAATGTAAGTGGGTGATTTTTTGATGGAAGATAAAGGTCTACAGCCATACATTAACTATTTATATTTTATGCTGGTGCTCGTGCCTGAAATGTACATGCTCGTGAAACATTTATTCCCTCTGCCTTGTATCTACAGCAAGCTGTTTCATGTGCGACCTGTGACACAAGGGGATGCATACAGGGCAGAAGCTAAGGACATCCCCAAGATATTCCAGGTGTGTAAATAATAGAAGTGCATTGTTTTTTATCTGGCCTTGCCTTGACGCTCTCTCTGCCTTGTCTCCCTGTAAATAAGGCAGCGCTCTTGGCATTTGAGATGTGTCCTTGTCTGTGAATGTTTCAAGCCAGCAACACTGTGCAGCTTTCTGGCCTGAGGTGTACAGGAATTTTAAGTTTAGTTAAAAAGCAATGCAGCCAATGTTCGTAGCTGTAATTTCCTTATCATAGTTCATCTGTTTTTTTGTATTTATCTTCGCACATGTTTTTGTTGACTAAATATGCAAGGGTATCTTATTGTCTCATTTGCCTGTAATAACACAACCCACTTCAATGTATATTTGTTTCAAAGTACATTCTATATGCTTGTGAGAAGGAGGTCAATATATTTGTAAGGGCAGGTTTTTGATAGCCTGTATACAATCACAGAGATCAACATGCAAAGACAGCCGTTAATGCAGCAGTATTGTTTGTCGGAACATGTATCCGAATCTGACTGGTGGACTAAGTTATTTACTACTATTATGAGCCAAGAATGTCTATCTGTCCTGCGCGTGACGTCACTCCACGTCGACCAGCCCCCTCATTCTTAATCGTGAACAGGTTCCGTCCTCCACATGGACCCCCCCTCATTAATACTCATGAGCGGGTGAAGTCACTCCGCATGGAGAACCCTCCCCTCATTAATAATCATGAGCAGAACCCTCACGTCATGCGATCTCCGTAACTCTATTGAGACATAGAAGTAAAAAGGACGTCATGATGAACATGGGATTATAACTTTTAAATGAAATAAGTCTGTGTCACCGCGGCCTTACAAATTGCACACGAATGGATACAATGAATATCACGTCACGGTCTGCTTTTCGCTTGCAAGTTTCACATTTACTGCAATTCACCCGTCCTTGGACGGGCAAAAGGCTAGTTGATGTCATAATCGGACATTACGAAAACAACTATAAAATCATTTTAGCCCTTTTTTATCCGTGACTGTGGAGTATTTTCGGAATTTGATCGAAGGATAGTCTGAGGATCTGTGAAGTTTGAAACAGATTGTACCAAGACAGGTGTTGTGGATGTAATCGGGTAGATATGCAATGCAGTGGCTACGGCTCGTGCGTGGGATGGAGGAAGGCAGGTTACTGAGACAGGCACCAGGGTGACATCCAGGCATTGGTGGTCGAGAAGAAAAGCTAAGACAATGTTGGGATACTCTCAGAATCGACATCGAAGGTCAGGTGGTAACTTTGCAATGGTTATGGAATTCTGTAGAGGGAATTAAACCAACGCAGAGGTTTGGTAGCATCAGCAGCATGGGCCCTTTGATAATAGTGAGTATATATTGGCTACATATGGTGCGAAAGAAGTTCAACATGTATGCTTTTGAAACTGAGCAGGATCTTGTGTTGTTTTTTTATTCTGCACCTATGAGTAACTGGCTGAACTATCATGCAACCTAAAGGTGTAACCACCTTAGGTTATAGCACCTTGGACTAACACCATTTTCATGCGTCTGCTGCCTCATCCCACACGTGCCTTTCCCCCATCTCTGTTCACCTCTTTGCTTCGCGACCACAGATCCTCTATGCCAACGAAGGCGAGAGCAGCAAGGATCAAGAGCTGGTGCCAGACTCGATGCTGGAGAAGCAGAACTGCCTGGTGCACAAGGGTCACGAGCTGGTGCCGACCATCTACCATTTCCCCACCAGCTGCGAGGCGTGCAACCGCCCCCTCTGGAATGTCTTCAAGCCGCCGGCCGCCCTCGAGTGCCGCCGATGCCACATCAAGTGCCACCGGGACCACTTTGATCGCAACGAGGACTTCCTGGCGCCATGCAAACGTGCGTGTGGGCCCCCCCCCTCCACCGAATGTTGGATTTCACAGCTGTAGCAGTGGCATTCTCATATATTCCCTTTTAATAACCCCCTTCTACCACCTGACACATCTTCTTGGTTTTTTCGGTAAAGTCACGTAGAAGGGAAATAATAAAATAATAAAAATAAAGATAATAAAATAATTCTCACGACGTTTCGGCTACAACTCAAGCAGCCGTCCTCAGGCGAAGAATGAAACGCCACCAAGCTTGGAGCGTATATTTAAGCTGGGTTGGAGGGGGAAGAAGAGCGCCTTGACAAAATAATTTGCATATCAAGAGGAATTTAGCATATTTATGGGAAATGCGTAGGAGGTGGACGGGGGGTTAAAATAAACGGTTACCTTTCATGGCAGCAATGTCAATTATCCAGGAATGCATTTCTGAGTCAAATTACTATTTTCGCAAGGATATCGGAGTAACGAGAGAAAACCTGCCCATGCAAGGGCATAACGTGCAAAGATCTGCACAGATGGATTCACAAATCTGTTTACTGTACTTCCATTGGACCATCTAGCACAGCTGATTTGTTTCACAAATCTTAGTAATCTGCTAAACCTTGCCTCCCAACTGCTGTGTTACAGGTGTGAGTGAACTCACCTGCTCTCTTGTGCCTGCTCTCTCTACTGTGTTATTACTGGAGCCCCATAATAAGAAAGCTCAGATCAATTCATGAATTTTTTTACATTTAGAAAGTTCGCTTTGCAGGATTATGTTGCAACTGATTGGTGTTAGCTCTAACGTCCAAGTATCCAGAACTCATCAGAAATGTTCAGACATGAGCTTTCAATTCCCAAAATAGTACTGAGAACTCGTGATTGGAATGTGTTGTATAACGTGTCATATGTTCTGCACTATGGAGTATATTTAGTGCTTCTCAATTTAGCATTGCATTGGAATTGTTATATTTTACCCCCAACACTGGTCACATGTGGTGACTTCACCAAGCAGTAGCACTTTTCCCACTTATTACAAAGCTTTGTGGCTCAAGGGCAGCAGCCGCCCTGCTTAATTCTACAGATGTATTAACAAAAAAATTAGTGACGTCTGCTTAACGGTGCATTCTGTGACGCTATTCGAAATAGAGCAGGCCATTTGTGCTCGCTTCATGGCCCAAATTATAAAATTACTCGCAAATTACTTGGGTAAAGCCACATGGCAATATTACCCTGGACTGTAAAACTGCTGCGGACAATGTTCATATGTGAAAAATAGGGCCTTCAGGATAGGACAGCCTTGCACTATAAGAATGGCGTGAATACCAAATGTCGTAATGACTTGATTTTCCCTGCATGCCCTTTCTGCCACAGTCTGCTTCGACGTTGCATCAGCCAAGAACTTACTGCTGCTGGCCAGCTCCCCAGCTGAGCAGCAGAAGTGGGTGAGCCACCTGTTCAAGCGCATCCCCAAGAAGCCGCCCGGTGTCACCGACGCGGGGCCGTTAGGGTTCGCTCGCTCTTCCCCACGCTCCTCGTCGCGCTTGCCGCCTGCCACCGCACAGCCCCAGTTGGTGTCGGCAAACGCCGGCAGCAGCAGCAGCAGCAGCAACGCTGCGGGCCCACGCAGGACCAGCCGTGCCGCACCCACTTCACAGGGCAAGCCAAGGTGCGTGGCCATTGCTCTCGCCGCCCTCACCATTCCTGGAGAGATAGAGACGGGCACTGCTTGATATTAAGCGCCACCAAACCGAGTCTGTTCACCACAGATGTAGACAATTCCAGGTCAGATAGTCGGTGGTTTCTTGGTCAAACAAGATCATTGCGGGAGGCACCTATCATCGCTGAGCTTTTGGTGGAATTCCAATTTCCTATTATGGGGGCGAGATAACCGATAGGATAAATATTGATGACTTCTCACAGTCATACTCTTTTTATTCACCCCAGATGAATGAAGGGCTAATTTCACCACCAACCAGAGAATTGTACTTGCAAATAATTGATTTTCAGTTATATGCTCTAATTGCTCTGCTTGTTGATGGGATCTTACACAGTTGCCACGCACATTCGTGCTCGCACAACAATACTATATATGTGAGAAATATATAGCAATCAGATTTCATTATTTAATTTAGCTATTGCACTTTATTTGTCCTGGAAAAAAAGATTTCTCTGTGATCTAAAATGTCACTCATAATGTCTGGCCTGACTGTTTATTTGTTCCAGTGAACTGAATTGTGATGTCTTTTTGCTATGAGTTGATTCTTATTCCTGAGGATAACGGGGACACATGATAGCATAAAAAATGCACTCATCATTTTTGTGAGTACTTTATATATACAGGTACTTAGGATAATGCATATTATAGCATGTATGGGATTTTGGGTGTTATAAAATATAGGTTGAAGTGTGTAATTCACATATAGGTATCAGCTGGAATATTTGATTGTCATACTTTTCAAAACAAACACCGTATGTTGAAGCTGCACCAGAGATTGCAACTGTTTGATATCATGAAATGTATTATTTGTAAACTGGAGGGAAGGTTTTGATGAATGGTCTTAAATCCTTCTCTAAACCACAATACACTTTTGACAGGCAACACAAATTAAAATGTTCACATTTTGCTTGTTCACATGTTTCTATCGCTCTGCTTGAAGCTGCTTGAAGCAGAGCGATAGAAGTTCCCTCTCCTTTCAGACATCTCCAAAATTATCCTGATACAATGCATGACTCACGGTTGCTGACTTGTTCTACGGGTCGCACTTGACACAAGAGTGGTGGATTTGTTCTATCTGCTTGCACTCAAACAGTAGTTGTCCCGGAGTTGAGAAATACGTGATCAAGTGTGTTGCTGTCTCTAAAATATTTAGAAGCAGCACCAAATGTTGAAAAGTTTTGTAAATTTTTGGTGAGAAACTGGGTTCTTTGGGAATGCAAACACATCGCGAGAAGGCCCTCAGTGTGAAGTGAAGCTGTGGGCACCCACCACTTTTTGCCACAGATTTTTGACATTGAATATGCTCAGTGTTGCATTGCTATTATGGTCTGTTATCTGTTGTGGGCGTTTCAGCATTTCACAGTGAATTGGAGGGACTGATTCGTCTGTTGATGTGAAAACATGTTGGTGCTTTGAGTGCTTTTTGTACGACAATTAGTGTACCTTTTGCTCAGTGTTTGCTCGTGTTCTTTTACAATGATTTGAGAAATGTTTAATTGTCAGTTGAAATTTCTCGACGTCAAAGATGGGAAGCCTGTAAGGGAACAGCAATTGTTTTTTCTCTATCTTGCACTCTTTCTCTTACCTTGCCGTCTTTTTTCTTATGACTTGATGTTGTTGCCGCCTTGCTGAAGCCCCCCACACCCTCCTAGGCTCCGAATAATCCTGCACTGATTTGATTTTTCCATTCAAAAATCATCCCACGGTGTGTAAGTATACGGTAGTCATGCTGCATTTCCTGCCTCTCTCCCAAACCCAGCTATCTTTCTGCTTGGCCTTGATGTCTGCATGTGCGTGCGTGTGTGTGTGTGCGCGAGCGTGGGAATGTGTATAGATGTACATGTATGTGCACGAGTGTATGAGACCTATTTAACCGTAATGCATTAGTACGGATGTGTACTTATCCAGCTATGTTAACCACTAACATATATCAGATGTGTTTAATGTGGCAATGCCATGTTATGTAAATGTGCAAACTTGCTAACTTATTCTTTTTGCAGAAGTCACACAGCAATGTTGTACATCGTAGTGCCAAATGGTTTTCAGATTTTATTTATCAAGCACTTCCATGGTTTACCTGTCCTTGTATATAGGTCAGCTGGCATGTGTTGTGAATGATCTGATAACATCCAGTTCACATGTGTTGGGATGGCTGGGCTGCATTTGTCCCAAAGGATTAAGTGTTCAGAAACCTACATCTTGACTGAGTATTTTAGAAGTGGCTTAATGCAACGACTGTGGAATTTTTAATCAGCTGTGGGTATCATCATCAATCAAAACGTAGTGACAGTGTCCATAATAGAGGTTTTTTGGGTTAGATTGCGTAAATATATAAATGTGTCGTTAAAACCCACCACCACCCGACACAGCCAACTAGTAAGGGTTGTCACGTAAACAGAACATGCCAATTTATCACTAGTACAGCACACCAGTGTGTTGGAGAGCCAAGCCACAACATTTACAATCAGAGTACGACGTTTCGCCAGTAATTACAACTAGCTTCATCAGGCAACAGCCAGATTTGTGGAGAAGTCTTAACTGTTTCGTTCCTTATATAGAGGCGTAGATGTAGTGACCACGCTTCTGCGCTCTTGTGCAAGGTGGGGGGGTGATTACTGAGTCAATGTACATTATGCATGTGCATTATGACAGTGTGTTCACTCGAGGCATTTTCTGTTATAACCCTGTCATTGACCATTTACAAGCAAAGGAATGTCTAGTACCTTATGTCGCAAAAAAAAATATTGTTACTTTTCTTGAGAATGGTGAGTTATGTTGGATAGAGGTTCTGTTTAAGTAAAATATTAAATTTGAAAAACGCATGATCACATTTTAGGTTTAACATTTTATTAAATAAATGTCACTTACATTGGCACTCCTCTTCCAGCACGTCTGATCAACGTGGAAGCATAGGTCAAATGCCCTCCAGAGTATTCTCTAGTGGGGAGGCATTTCTTGTAGCAGTTGTGTGAGCAAGCTATTGCAGGGCTGCACTTTTACCTTTACCTTGGAATAATCGGATGATATGTTGACCCGAAAATGAAGTGTTCTGGAACAAGATTTCAATCTGTGTTCATTTATTTAAGTTGAATCATGTTGTGCCATCTCAGGCATATGTCTGCTTGTTATTTTACACCTGGTGAAGATGGGGTCAATTTGTGAAGTAAATCTATCTAACGGTGAAATTAATATGCACGCATTTCACTTGTAGCGTCGTCACAGCTCTCCTGCTGTTTCCAGCTGATATTTGGGTGTAACAAGTGTAGATAAAAAAAAACTTATTAAAATCTAACCTTGTTATCACGAAATGTTATCACAAATACGCTGTGTTGCGCATACTTAGTCTCCAGTAGTTTTTCAGTAAGGGGGCAATTTTTTTCCCGTGTTTTTCCCAAACGAGTAATTGGCACGTGATATTCTAAATGGCCACTGTGAAGCAGACTGCACATTTATGGTTAAAGCACCCGCAAAATTTTACAAGGGCAGCCTCTGCCATTATATTTAGCATTTTCATAAAAAAGAAACAAGCATATCTTAGCATGTCAAAGTTCTTAAGGTATCATGCTACTTCTCCAACCATGCAATAAGTTATGCTTATAATGTGCCGACTTCCCCATTGCACAGTGCTTACTGAACCTACTTTGCCACCCCTGTTATTTACCAGTTTTACGCCTTTGAGCAGCGCTCCCCGAGTACCAACTCGCTGTGCAAAAGATGTGCAGTCGTTTTTTTTTTTACCAGGCGGGCATAATAAATCTCACTGCATGCGATGCCATGAACAGCGAATGTTCTGGGTTTTTTTTGTATTCCATTTGTGTCGTTGAGGTCATGAGATGGAGAAACAGAAACGTGCGCATTTCCAAAGCTGGAATTTCTCCACATTGTATTGTCGTGCGCTCATTTGTGACTGGGCTGAGATCAGCTTGCTACGTTTGTGAACCTGTTTTAATCAGGGTGTGGATGCCTGTATTCAAACCCACTAGCTAAGCCCTCCTGGCTCATTGCTCTGTCTGTGTATCCCACTGTGCTTCACTCGATCACAAGATCACACCGATTGAGAGAACCAAAGCCAACCTGAAAATTTTAAAAGAATTCACAATGTTGGATGCCTTCTCACCTAGGTTTGCATAGTTTGGTACAGGTAGGAACAACAGTTCCACACTGCCCACCAGGGATTATTTGTCTGTCGTGCACGGTCCCACCCCACCAGAGCCCTCCCATTGGCTTAGGGTGGGGAGGGGCTGTGTCGGGAGGGTGGGGCTGGGTGGGGGGTGGGAGGGGTGGGGCTGGGTGGGGAGGGGCGGGTCACCCCGTGGTGCCCTTATAAAACTAAATGTTTAACCTACACACTACACTATACACGACACACTACACTTATACAGGTAGGAACAACAGGTTCCACACTGCCCACCAGGGATTATTTGTCTGTCGTGCACGAATGCGCTGCCCAACTAAGTTCCTACCTGCCCACTCGGAAGGAACGTGTTTAAATGTGTGTTACACATTAATCATTATTTCACTCAGGACCTCTTTTAAAGAGCTGTGATTGATTTTGGCTTATTGATGCATGCTTCATGGGTTTTTCTTACATCCATAGGTCACTTTGCAGCTCCACTCTTTGTTGTGTGGACCAACTATATTTTGATGTATTGATTTAAATTCTTACAAGTTACTGCATGTGTATACAGATTATTTATATTTTATTCCCAAATGTGTTTTATATTCATGCACATTGTTATCTGAAATCCTTCTCCAATGTATTTTCTTCCGCAAAACTTCAGACTTGAGATAAAAGAAGCGTGGAACTTTTAAAATGGTTAAAGGAGCACATACTTTATAATGTATCCCGTTCTTTGCACCTTACCTAGTCATTGACAGAGCCAGTGAGTTAATGAGTGCTGATAATCATGAGATCCATTCTACACAAATCATGTAAGATGCGGATACCTAATGCAGAAGTGTAAAACTGAAGACTCTTGTGTGTGCGAATGCGGCTACAAAACACCACACTATGGGTCACATAACTTTACACTGTGACCTGTGAGGAAATCAGGAAATTGGCATTAGAGGCTAACCCAGGAGAACTTGGATTGCTGTTGATGCTTTTACTTGGACATAGCTTAGTTTGAGACAAATCCCAAAGTGGGTGCCACAGTGGCGAGATGTTCACTACCTCACCTGGTGTGCAGGAGATATCGTGGGTTCAGTCTCAACCCTGATGGCCTGTATACTTGGGGTTTGCATTTTCTCCCTGTGGTCGTGTGGATTTTTTTCCGGGTCCTCTGGTTTTTCCCTCCACATTTAGAAACATCCATTTTGAGTATTTGGCTGCTAAAAATGTCCACACGATAAGCCACTTCATTGAGCTGTCATTTGTGGGCAGGGCGCTTCTGAAAAAAAAGTTATATAGCTCAGTGGGCCTTACCTGGTAAAAATGTTTTAAATATGATTTCACAAAAACTGCCGAAGAAGATGAAGCATTGTTGAGTACGCTGGGCTATCTTGCAGCCAATCCTCAGATCAAGGAAAGATTTTCAAATAACAGAATGGTCTTTCAATAGGGAACTGGTGATGTATGCCTTCCATGTCCATTCTTTTGCAGGCATAGAAAATGTGAATGGGCATTAACAGTTACACTACCTCTTGTGTTATTTTTGCCTCGTCTTTATTGGTCTTATTCTTGGCATATTTTTATGTCACGTGGTTTTACACATAATTTCACGAGCACTGAACTGAGATGCCTTAAGATACGACAATGTGCTTGAACACAAAAGACAAACGGTCACCAGTTATACTTTTATTCTTTACATTTGGGAGGGGGAAGTGGGGAACCTATTCATGCCCAAAGGCAGCTGCAAAATGGAAAACCAATTGTCGTGAAATGACACACTTAAGCATCACGGTAAATGAAAGCACATTTACAAGGAGGAAGCATTTAACCATGACAAAAATGTAAACAATTACCAATAAAGCCTAGAACAGACATGCAAACACATTTGAGCTGCCTTTTCTGTATGTAATTCACACTGAAGCAGCACAAGCCTTGCACAGATGTATGAGTTGAGTTGCTATCTATGAAGGCTTGCTTATAGATTTCTTCCAAGGTCAAAGCTGGCCTCTTAATGAAATAGTCGCCCATTTGCGGTGCATGCCATCATTTTGTCATTCACATGGCAGTCACTAGGGTAGCTTCATGTATGTGCTTCGCATTGATCTTTTGGAATCAAATGAAAAGCGTAAACACTCAATTATCCAGTTGTGCTATTTTTGAAGCAATATATTTGTTTGGATTTTAATTTGCCCATACTCAAAAACACAAGTGTGCCTACCTCAAAGCGTAGCGTTATAATTGTTCATTCACACGTATTATTGTCAATCACTTTAAATGTCCAATGCATCAGCCGTTAAGAGGTGCTTGACAAAAAAAACACATCGTACCCGATTAACACCCTCAATCCCAAACACTGGCTCCCTGAAATCCAAACATGATTTCCCTCAATCCCCCTGAAAAAAACCTGCTGCACCCTGAAATGTGGGTGTGTTGTGTTTGCAGGCTCTTTGATATGGCACTGCGAGATTGGAGCTGGACTCTTCTAGACGGCCACGATGATGATGACACTGATGATGACGACGATGATGACGATTTCATTATCTGAAACATTGCGGGGAACAGGGTGGGGGGGGTATGTCTTTGCCCACAGCAGCCCCGTGGCTTTGAATGGGTACACGGGTGACTTGGTGTGCAGTGCACGTGGATCACCTGCCGTGTGATGGGACTTTGATGCGAAAGTGCTCTTTAACATTTTTGCTCTCTTTTCCATCCTGCATTTGGATGAGTCATCTGTGTGTCCGTGCTGTCCTAACTGCTAAGTAGGTGAAGGAGCCCACAGTAAATTGAGTACCTTGCATCTGAATCCTTGCGAAACAAAGATATGTCTCTCCCTGTTTTTTCGAAACTAAACTCAATGTGCACAGATTTTGAATGCTTATTTACAATACCGTATACAAGTGAATTATTCTACACTCCTAAAATGATGTGTAAGTAATCCTATGTAAAACCGTAGCTGTTATATTTGCTTTCTTTACACAGGTTACACCATATTAAACGGTCCTGCAGATCCAATCAGTCACTATACAGCGTCTTTCAGAGCCCAGATTTACCTTGCGGTGATTTAAAATTGTCACCACGGTGAGGGAGCTGTAAAGTAGGGTTAACGTTTATCGCAGCTGCCTGTAATCATGTCGCATAATGGTACGTTTCAGTGCATTAGGGGTTCAATACCACCTGCTTGCTTTTGAATCCGCATTGATTAGGGCCAAAACTGGTTGCTTGAGGTCTGGTCAACTTCTCTCTGATTGCTTTATTTTGTGAGGCACAGCTAGTGCACGGTGTGGTTTGTAGTGCCTAACTGTGTGTGATGTCGGTTAAAATTTTCGTAGGCGAAAATGTAAAACAACGTGACGTACTTTATTCCAACGAGCCTGGAAGCGCGGCGCATATGCACAAGGCGCCTACAATTTTAAGCACATGTGCTTGGTCGTGATTATAATGGACCATGATATTTTTTGCTCCAAAGTGTTCTTTGGCAAATGAACCTGTGAGTAAAAATCGGTCTCACCTGTCTATAAAGGATTGATTTGGTTGTTTTGAGCTGTTGTGCTCTGCAGCATTGATCTGGATACACGTGCGCCCAAAGCAAATGTGATTTTTTAGAAATCCACCGCAATTGTTTGCACGAGTGCAGTTCTTTCAGGTTGAATGGAATTAAGTCTTCAAGATATGTAACCTAAACAGATATATTCTAAAATATGTGGACACTAATTTCCACATGTTCCTTTGAAGTGTTGCACGTGGTGTTTTTTTTTGGTTTGCTTATGCATTGTGGTGATATGAAGTGTATTTTCTTTCAAATTTTAATGAATATATTACAATGCTTGGTTTCTAGTGAAGCGTAACAAATTAGTTCTTGCACTGCATAAAACACATACAATTAACAAATTACTTACATGTTATATTTCTCCCCTTTCGATTCACATTTTAAAATCAGTATTGAATCATTTAGATGTAAAATAGTACATTGCATATGAATTTTAAATGGAAGACTTACAAATTTCCCCAAGGAAATTCTCAGAGTTTCAAGATTATTTTTCAGGACAGTCTTGCCAAAATTTTCGCAGGAGTAAAATTCTACAAAATGTGGAAAATTTGGCCAATGTCCCCTGTGCACAAAGACCGACTCTTATTCAATTGTGGTACAAGATGTTTACCGTAAATTGTGAAGCTGTGGCACGTATTGTATGGTTAATACCCTGGCAATACCAACCAGGGCGGCGCCCTCAGATTCGAACTACGAACCTCAGCAATAAGCGGCAAACACGCTACCGCTGGGCCATTTGGTCAATTTAACTAATGCCTTTTATTTTTAAAAAAACAACCATATTCTAATTGATGTCTGCTAGCACAGGAGCTCGTGTAGAGTGCAGGGGAGGCTGTCCGAATGCTTTGCGAATGAGATATCAAGTACACGCAACCTCCCACAGCTTTCATTGTTTCTCGTCATTGTCAGCATCACGACAATGTTTATGTTGCATGCTTATTACATAGCGGTGGGCTTTCAAATTAAGCCTTACATTTTCGTATTGCTATGTTTTTTATACTTGCCATTTCATTCTCAAGATGTTCTAACCGTCCCTCCCAAAACACACATGCATGGTACATGCGAGCGTGCAAGCGTTTCATCCACATTTAACTTGTTTATCTCTTTTCTCCCATTTCAGTTAGCCGCATACTGGCCCAAGGGACGTTTGAGCCATGACAACAGTAATGCTGTTTGCACCCGAGCGAGCTCCGTGCTCGCTGTGCTGGGTGTGCTCTACGGCCATTCAATGCCAAAAGCAGCAAAAGGCACGACGAGGATGAACATCGGGGGTGACTCGATGTGCCGGGGAAAGCGATAAGCCCCCCCCCCACCCCCGGAAACCTCTCCACCCATCCCTGGAACCCAGCCAGCGTGAGAACACTCAACACACCCAACGCAGAATCTGCAAGTAACATTATAAAGATCACCTCCTTTCTATGCCTGTGTTTTTTTATTGATAAGAGGTCCCTAGGTTTAATCTGGCCCCATGTGCTTGTGTCATAAGGTTGTGACACGAGCCACGCACCACCACGATTGTGAGTGAGTGCGCGGGGTCGTGCTGTACGGAATCATTCAGGCACTCCTCCCTTCAGCGGGTTTGACATTTGAATAAAAGATCTTCATTAATCAGCCTGTTATTGAAAGGGACCACCTTGTTTGGCAATTCGAGTTGATTGATCCTCGCAAAAAGTGCCTTATTAACGAGACGGCTGCATAGGCGAAGCAGCAATTATCGAGCTTTCCGTACGTTGTTTAAAGTAATCGGCTCACTTCTCTGGTTCATTTGGCATTCTTTCGGACTTTTTTGTTAGAGAGTTAAAATATTTATGCCTTTGATATAAGTACTTTCATTCTGCTGTAATTGCATTTCTTAAACAATCTGGAGGAACTTATTTTGGCAAGTGTGCCATTACATATTTGTATGTCATTTTGTGCAATAATAACTGTTCAAAGAAATGAACTTTTGGAGGGAATTTATTTGAATGTGCTTGAGGTTAAAATAAATATATTCATGTCACGACCAGGTTATGAGGGAGAAGACAATTTCGAGATTGGTCGGCCCCAGTAATTAAATGTAAACGTTACAGCATATCGGTAGACTTGGGCAGTCTGAACACTAATTATAATTTTTCGGGAGTAAAAGGAAAAGTTAATTCAACACACTTTATTGCTTTTACACTACACTGCATTAAAATGTATATCAAAAGTACTAACAAACTATCGAGTATCGGCCAAATGAGAATGTTTGAGAGCTATGCTCATTATCCTCATTGGTTGAATTTTGTGCGAAAGGTTGAAATCGGCAACAGCGGTGAAATCATCATTGCATGAGTGTCATAAACTAAGCACTCTAAATTCTTGACGGCTCAGAATCAATTAGATGTAAATTCCTATCACGGCAGCCTTTTCAAGTAGCACGTTATGGTTTTGTTTGTTGACCTCTTATCTGACAAATATGACTTCCCCACGGTCCACTAAATCTCAACAGTGTAAATTTCACCTGTAGTGTTTTATCTGATAATTCCTCATTATTCTGTAAATTGGTTATGCGGTTAATTGAGTAGCAGCGGAGTTGGCTGTGTACGCAGTCTGCTGCCAGGTGAATTTCTGTTAAACCAAGTGTCTTAACGCCTTGCTGGCCCACCTTTAAAGACCTTGCCTCATTTAAGGAATAGCGATGCACTCGTTCTGCACATTTATCAATTACATTGAGCACTGCCTTTTGGTCTGAGAAAAGGGTCAGCAGAATCCTTAAGGGCTGCCTTCTTTGCTGCCACATAATGAGACCCCAACCCACCCCCTCCATTAGTCACCATTATTTATGGTCCACCTGCAGTAGCATAGGCAGGTACAATAACTATGCATGTCAATGTCATTTTGTCTTGTCACGTGGCATTCCACACCTACGCCTTTTCTCTCGATAGTGGCCTCCGCAAAAGTGTACTTGAACGACTTGTATGCCTCTTACATACGGATCTCCTATTGAAAGCAAGGTGGTTAGTTGACTCAAAATTACAAACCTCGGAGGGAAAATTGGCACATCATGGGAAACATTTCCATACGGGTAATTCCATGGTAACTGGATTACAAGAAAAATTGCAAGCATTGGCTCTTATACATCTCACAATGACCTGCTGTGCAAAATAATGTTGAAACTATAAAAAGCCAAATTATGCATAGGTTACATTTTCTAATGATCATATTCTGTATTTTATGCTGTATTTGCATTACCATGGAATTGCCCGAACTATTTTGGTAAAGTATTGTATTGCTCCATTATTGGGGAGTGTTTCCAGTTAATGTTTGTGTTGGGTGACTGAGGCAAGCCTACCAGCATGTGCACAGTCTTTAATGTAGTTTCAGCTTTGAAATGCTGATGGCTGCATTTGATTAAGTATTTGCGTATGCACAGAACAGTGCAGGTTTATCTTGGACCCAAGGGTATGTGTATCGGAGAAGCAACAGTAGTGTCTGTTCAATGCAATGGAGCACTCCTTGGCGGTTGTGAATGCATTATGTTACAGTATATGACGCAAGCAGGCGAATGTGAAATGCTGATTTTAGCAGTCCTATTGATTCGTTTCCCTTAAAAAAACATTCTGAGACGTACTGCGGTTGTGGGTATTTTTTTTTACTGGAAAGGGGCTAGAAATGTATTGAGTTATTCCCTGTTTGCGAAAGGGTTTTACCTGCAGTATGGTGCCTTACTGTATGAGGTTTGTTCTTAGCATTATTAGTTATTACACAGTGGTGCCGTGTCTCTCAAATTAATCAACAGGAGCTGCACATGCACAAGCTTGGTTTCATTCAACAGAGAAAGCAGAGATAAGATATGCACTGTTTTAAATGCCGTCATCTATGCTATGGAATGTATTATTTTTGGACGGAAAAACTATATAGTTAATGATACTGTATTACGTCGCCTTATTGCCTTCACCGATGCATGCCTGCTTGTTGTTCAGTGTCGTGAACAAGTTGAGGCTTCTTTTAATGTCACAGACAAATAAAATATTGTGCTTTCCCATTTTAAAATGTGTGCAGAGTTTGAATCGTGCAAAGTGTCAGACGTGTGCCTTACGACGATTATTGTTTATAGATCCGAGGATCACCCAAAGAAATGTTGTGACCACGTATTGAAAAATATTGTTTTGCGACAGCTCATGCACGGCTGACCTCCATCTCTGCATTGAATGGTCATCAAGAGTAATGAAATCGCATACGGGGCAGCAAGAGTTGACATACTGCACATTGCTCTGAAATTTTAGATTGGAGAAATACAATTATAAAGATAAATGCTGCCGTGTTTACCATCTCACGCAGTATTTGCTGATGGAAAGTCGTAATAACCAGTGGTAATGAATAACTAGAAATGGTTGAAAAACTTAACAAAGAAGGTTTGTAACATTGGGCTCCAGATGAACATGAGCATAACAAGTTGTGTATCACGAGTTTAACACGTAGGCTTTCGCGACCAATATCCATAATAGAGGTTTTTTTGGGTTATATCACGTAAATATAATAATGTTAAAACCTGCCACCACCCGACACAGCCAACTAGTAAGGGTTGTCACGTAAACATAACATGCCAATTTTCACGAGTACAGCACACCGGTGTGTTGGAGAGCCAAGCCACAACATTACAATCTGAGTACGACGTTTCGCCAGTAATTACAACTAGCTTCATCAGGCGACTGCCAGATTTGTGGAGAAGTCTAACTTGTTTCATTCCTTATATAGAGACGTAGATGTGGTGACCACGCTTCTGGCGCAGAAGCGTGTCAAAGCTGCGCAAGAGCGCAGAAGCGTGGTCACCACATCTGCCCCTCTTTCAGGAACGAAACAGACTTCTCCACATATCTGGCTATCGCCATATGAAGCTAGTTGTAATTACTAGCAAAACATCGTATTCGGCTTGTAAATGTTGTGGCTTGGCTCTCAAACACACCGGTGTTGCTGTACTAGTGACGAATTGACACGTTCTGTTTACGTGACAACCCTTACTAGCTGGCTGTGTCGGGTGGTGTCGGTATTTAACGACATTTATATTTTTATACGCGATCTAATCCAAAAAAACCTCTGTATATAACGAGTTCACTGATTAGAAAATATTTCGCAGAGGAACATCACAGCAACAAAGAACAAAGTGTACGTAAAGTATATATAAGGCAACATGAGAGTAGACTGGGATCAATGTGGAGAGGAACAAGATTGTGTGGATTTGTAAGATTACATTTAAGAATGAAAAGCACACCAATGTGCCTAAATAAGGTTTTCAATTAGTGTATATAACCATGGATCATAAACATGCAGCTTTGACAAAACGTGACGGAAAAAAAATCTAAAGATATGCTTGGAATAGAAATGCATAGACCGGAACAAACGCACATTGGCACCATCATGTTCACTTGAGAAAAGCGGCATTGGGTGGGAAACATTGCGGATGATGGTTGACGAGACTGGTTATGGAAGTGTGCCCAACGGAGGGGGAGGAAGTCCACTGCCAAAACGGAGCAATGAGATCGGCTCATACACAAGAGCGAGATGGGTTGCGGCATCGCAGGTCATGAATGTTGGGGATGGGAGTGGCTCATTTAGCATAAGATGGAACATGGCTGATTTTTACAGGAACCAAAGAGTATGGATTCCTGCAGTCACGAAAGCTTCAAATCAAGATATATAGGTTGCTTCAAACAATTTTTACTTATATGGGACTGTCGTTTTTAATGGAAAAAGAATGGACAATACGCTGTAGCATGATAACAAATTATTGCTGATAGCTTCAAAAAGCCAGTCTCCACTTGTTCGCCATCGTTGTCAACACGTTGCCTGGAATCTTCTCCAGGTGGTCTCCAGAGCCTGGAGGCACATTTTTTTGTGGTATTGTCGCAAATTCTCGGAAGTGTTAACATTTTTTTTTAAGAACCCTGTATATTTTGCTTATTTACCCAGCCTTACTCGACGTTTTCTCAGGAGGGTCCTGTCAAGTTTCCACGGGTAATTAAAAAAGTGTGTAACCATGATGCCAGCAACACAGTGGTCTCCTCTTGTGAACGACGTCACTGGATCTTTGACAGCAACACAGTGGTCTCCTCTTGTGAACGACGTCACTGGATCTTTGACGTCCTTTGTGTGGCAGACGGGCGTTGTGTTTTTTATGTTTAATGTTACACGCCGCAGGATTAAAAATCTTGCTGGATTCTAACCGTGGCCCTTTGCAACAAGCGGTGGACGTGCCATGCTCGGCCACGTCACTGCCCAGGTGGAGGCTGCAGATAAAAGGTGAGCAAACAAGAAGTTTTTGGTGAACTCGTGAGTGATTAATAGCCTGCTATCTGTGTGTACCGTATGTTGAACTTCTTTTGCACCGTACATAGCAAACCGTGCTAATCGGAGGTTGCGGACAATCCTCAGGGGTTGGATGTATTTGTGACGGCAATATCTTCCTAGGCTGAGATCTTTTTAATTTATACACATCCCAGTGTTATTTAAGTATGTGTGTGAGCCGCTAATTCGCCCAATTAATCAGTGCTATGTGTGGCTTCATTGGCCACCCAAGGACCTTTGCTGCAAACGATGGCTGGTTTCTAAGTTACACGTGTGCATGGTTTTTATCTCGCGGATTAGAATTCCATTTGGTTTTGCAATTTTTTTCATCAAAATAAATGTTATTCTGATTCATTTAAAAAAAACATTTCTTCCCGCCTTTCTGTAACGGGTTAAGCTCTCAAAAATGTGCGTGGCGTTGATGGTCATGTGTTTGGATTAATATACGGATCTGGTAGCCAAGGGTTTTTGCGTATACGTTTTTAACATTGCTGATTTGGCATGAGATGATTCGTTTCAGCGAATCAGAAATCGTGGTTCTATTCAATTATTTTTCGTTACTGCTCCGTTTTGGATTCTCCGTTGTTCCATATGCGGCATTTTTTGCCACTTCATTAGCCTAAGTGTGAGAGCACATCATTGGCATAGTAATAAATCGTTGATTTCCAAATCAATGATTTCATAAATGTCTCGTTAGCAAACATTAATTCATTTTGATTGTTGAAATTGTGCATCGTTACATGCCTAATCGCTATGGATGACAATGTGGAGGAATGCTGACTTTAACCTTCTTCACACGAGCTTCTGGAAAGCACAGCGGAAAGCCCACGGACATCGCATGGTGGGCTTGGGCCCTGGTGCATGAAATTAAGTGTGGGAGGGGGGGCTCTCCAATTCCCCTGCCCCCCCTACACCAATTGCCATCTCTTCATATCCCCAGTGCGTGGGCATCCCCTCCAGCCAGTGCACCCCGCTGCAATTGCACCACCTGTACCACCGGTGGAAGAGTTTTGGTAGGGGCGACTCGGGGCTTGATGTTGATTATAGACATGTCGTGTAAATGCATTTGTCGGTCACTGCACTCTCATTTCCATTCCGTCATGGGGTCGCGCACGGGGTCACGCGCAATTACATGGCAAACATACGGGGAGCACATAGAGTCGGGATGATGCGTGACGTGAAAATTGTCACTCGAATTAGATGGCCATCGGAATGTTGGCGACGAAGTTAATCTCTTTTCAAATCTTTAAATGACGAGATAACACCATCACAGCAGCGTAATAGTGCATGCAGGGAAACCATACGTTTCAAACGGGATGCAAATGTGTGTAATAAGCGGACGGACCATTTGTGCATGTGCAACAATGCATCGGTATTTGCTAAAGCCATGATGCATTGTGGTCCCCTCGTCTTTTCAGTTGGTCACATTTTGATGGTCATCAAATACCAGAGGACCCCAATGCAACAAAAAAAGCTGATGGCTTGTTGCTTAGCCGCGCATAAGTGAGTTTAAACCGCAGAAATAGGGTCGCCACTTACACGCAAAATCGCACGAACTTAACCCACAAAGCGAGCAGAACCTGTCTTAGTTTACCATAGCTTTTAAATAAAAATTTAACTTTTTGTACTTTACTGTACTTCCGGTATATTTAAGATTTACTTCAAAGTTATTTGACATGAGGCCATGGCTGTTGGATCTGATAAGCGGGTGTGGTGGAGAGGAGGGGAGTGAGATTGCTGTTGAGAGTGGAGGCAGCTGTAAGTCTTGAAACCAGCGAGGGCAGATTTGAAGTTGATAAGCGACTGGATTGGGAGCCAACGGAGGGTTTGGAAAGTTGTGGTGATGTGGCCTCATTTCCTGGTGGAAGTGACAATCAGTTTGGTGATGGCATTCTGGACCATCTGGAGTTTGGCGCCACGTTGGTGAGATGTTAACTACTTCTCCTGATATACAGGAGGAGATCGTGGGTTTGTTCCCGACCCTGACGCCTCTATATTATTCCCGTGTTCGCGTGGATTTTCTCCGGGTCGTCTGGGTTTTACCTCCGCATTCAGAAACATGTGTTTAGAGTATTTGGCTGCTATAAATTCCCACACGATACGCCACTTCCTTGCAGCTATTATTTGTGCCAGATCGCTTCTGAAAAAGAGCTGTGTAGGGCAGTGAGTCTGAGCTGGTAAAATAAAATAGAAAATCGTTTAGTTTTACATTTTGATTTAAAGCTTTCGTGACTGCAAGGATTCATATTCTTTGTTCTTTCGGTAAAGTCACGTAGAAGGGAAATAATAGAATAATACAAATATTGATTTCACACCTGGTGATGATTGCCTTTGTTGCAGTCGAAACGTCGTGAGAATTTGTATTGTTTAATATTTGTATTATTTTATTATTTCCCTTCTACGTGACTTTACCGAAAGAACCAAGAATAGTTTAGTTTTAATTTTGGAGGTGAAATAATTGGAGAGGCCGTGGAGGAGAGAGGTTAAATACAAATTCTATTGGAATTGTTTCGGATATGCACGTGGACTTCTGTGCATCTCTCACTTGACGAAGTCCTTTTAAACGCTACGTGGGAGGGTTTTTTTTAATGCAGTTCCACCACTAGCCACAGCACGTCCTCCTTGGCGACACCCGGGCACTTGTGGACATTTGTTGACCACCGGTATCCAGCTGAGGTGAGAAGATCGTCGTAATGAAATGAT